ATAGGTAGGTACTGTTTGGTTTGTTACCATAATTAAACTTTGATCTAACGTTCTTACAAACATTAACAGACAACATAAAATATTTACATAAATATAATATTATGTAATATCTTTTTTAAATCGTTTTTGTTAATTTACTGATGCATTACATATTATATTATACATAGTTTAATCTTGATACAGGTACACCTGTACAGCAGGAGACAAACCCCTTTTTAGAACTCTGAACTTGAATTCATAGTAAGAGATAACCGTTTTTTATCATATTGAAATCTTTTGTATTCGTTGCCATTTCTAATCCCATGGCCGTCTTGTATTTGTCGCCCCCCACGCACGCGGCTGTCGTGACTCGTGACCTCGCATGGCAGGACGTCCTTAAAATGAAATGTGAATTGCCATATATTTTTTTTCAAAATCGAACTGACTTGTGTACTTGTGTTCATTAGTTAATCGTAATAGGTACATGAAAACATAACAATTTACAACACATATTAATGTTATGCGTTGACAATTATTACTGGATTAACAATAACACTGCAGTCAACAGTTAAGCCAGTCAAGATATCCATTTCAAAACCACCAAGGACTCCTATAACAAGCTAATAATAATCCGTAATACGTAATATATGTGTAATAATATAATATTACGCATAATTGAAGTTACTGCCTACTATTTGGCAAATTACTTTTTTATACTATTCATGTCATAACCACCGATTTCCAAACCTCAGAGTCATATATTACTCTTAAATATGGCAGTTCTATTAAGTTCTGACTTATATGATTAAATATTTTATTTAAAATGGTTTGGAAATTGTCTATAGATTTAAAATCTACACATTTCACCCCTAAGATACCTAGGTACCTAAAATGGCTAAGACATTTAACTTGGTTCATAAAAATTATGTATGCATTATTTTATATATTTGTATGTAACATATTGGTTAATTTTAATATTACCATAGTTTGGGGTAAATCAAAGCAAATGTTTCTTTGATTAAATACATCATTATTCAAAATAATTATACATTAATTAAAAAAGCCGTTTACTCCATATTACATTATAATATAAGAATTTCATAATTTTTTTAAAAAAAAATTGATTTCTGAGTATTTATAACCTGTCCCAAGTTTCAAAAGTAAGACTTAAAACTCTTTAAGCTTGAATGTTAAAGTACTTAAATAACTTGTAAAACTATAGAAACCCAACATTGGGAGCTAGTCTATATCTCATTAATAAAAATATATATTGGAATAATTATTAAAAGATTGTTATTATTTCCTACCACTCATTAATTCGAATCTAATACATTTCCCCTTGTGCCAATTCCCCCTCACACACAGACATTTTCCCACCACTCTTATATCAAAATAATTAAACACTCTCGGAAATAAATATACATTTAAATGTCTATTATTTAGTGTACACTCACATTATAATACATTTATAATTCCTACAGCAACGTCGATAAACAAAAAATGAATATGATGATATTATAAACTATTTATACATACTTTTATTTGAAATCTTTTTTTGTAATGAACAAGCAGTGGAACGAGTAATTTATTGTCTCTACTCGAGTGTGCGTTTTGACCCAAATCGCAAAGTACTACACGCGGTCTATATTTATATACGAAACAAAATCGGAATAAACGGCCTGAGTGCAGCGATGGAAATGGCCAGATAGGTAATACACAAAGATAACATAATAAATTATAATATAATCGTATTTTATTCAATTTTTGCATTTTCAACTATACCTTTAAAATCTATAGCTATAAGCAAATCTAAAAGCTGACGAATGCGTCGTGCGGTTTGTTCAAAAATGAAAATTTAATTTTCACAGAAGTATTTTAAAATGATCTATCACCTTCACAATAATAAGACACATTCATCTGTATATTTTTTTTTTTTTAAACAGAAAATGAAATACAAGTAGAACAATTTACATTTCCTGTTTGTGATTATAACATTTTTAATAATCAAATATTTAATTAGACACATTTAAAAATTAATCTTCCCCATTGCTATGACAACTGCTTCTATTATTATCGCATTCACAGTCAACCACAAGTGATAATTTCTTGAAACGTGAGGATAAGTTAGGTTAGGTTTAGGTAGGTAAGGCTTTCAGACATCCAGTGTTCGATACAAAGAAACGAGTAAATATGAGCAACTCTAAATGATGATATTTTTGTAATCAGTAGATTGTGGTTCTACCTTCTACGTTTATGGTGTTGATATCGTTGTGTAAATAAGTGTAATGTATCAATTTACTTGATGAAAAAAAATGTTAAATTATGTCTATAAAAGCATATAGGTTTATTATCGTATTATTTGTAGCATTGTACATTTAAATTACCTACCGCATACGGTATACGGGTTAACAACAATATTGAAAATTCATAATCGGGTCGTGTCTTTGTGTCTTATTTTATTTTATTTATTTTAATTTTAATCTTATCCGACAAAAATAAATTGATTAACACCTAAATTTAATTTTGTTTCATTTGTTGTAGACAATTTAATCATGGTATTATGATTATTAAGAAAAATAAAGTTTTTAAGAAAACAAATATATTTTGTTCACTTCAATAGTTATTTTATATTTGTACGGGTATATCTAATAATATTTGGCCATAAGTTTTACATATTTCTACGCACGGGAGTGTGGAAAACATTTCTACCATCTTTATTCCAGTATGGTTCAAACTATCGAATTTTGGTCCAACTATTTTATTTTAATTTTTCAACCACTGTGCTCACGTGGGTGATCATACAAAACCCGTTGATTCGGTGCAGCAGATAAATCGAACTCGAATCGGAATTTTAATTCTATAATTATTAATAGGTATATCACTTATTGGTTGTACCATATCATTATAATGTATACACACAAATATATATAATAATATTAATGTGATAACGCGAGCCGAGTGTCTTTCGTGTTTTTATCACATTGATAAGTCACATGGCCTACCATGGCGCGGCGTTAGTATAATATTATGATATGACTTTTGCGGTGCCAAACGCCATTTCCTCCATCGATTTGTTTGCCCGGCGGATGTAACAAGTTATGATGGGTGTGCGGGGCTCAGAGTTCTCAAAGGGTCCGACCAGCGGGTGGGTGCGCATTACACACGCATTACGGCGACACACCCGCGGGACGCCCTTTCGTCCGGTTTGGTAACGGATGCGGCGCGTTACCAACGAACCCAAAGCAGTGGTTGATTGTGAAAAATTTCACTGGCCTTAAAATTTGTATCGTCCTGGGTATATTTAGTAATGTTTTTAGTGTATAAATGCATGCTTATTTTGGAGTATTACAGTGCAGGCCCCCTAATTAGTATAGTAACTAATATTACTATAAGCTGCGAAGTAACTCATATTCTGCACCTGACACAAAAACAGAGTAATTAAAAATATTAAATTTCAAAAAAATGTTCATAGTTTTTATATGATTTTGTGAATAAAAATGGTCTCTATTACTATTTTTTTACTCTTTACAATGACAACAGTAATATTATGTCACCAACATAAATATTGTTCAGCATATTTTTCTCCACGACCATATGAGAAGGAATGCCTCCAATATTATTATTTGTGCGAACAAATCACTACCAACCCAGCGGGATATCCCGCCTGCATATAGTCCCCGCTGACCCAAATTCACAGTCATCTTAGAGGCTGCATCCAAGTTGAGTCCCGAATTTATAATTGCTACACTAGTTGGGTCCCGAATTATTTTAGGTACTACACTAGTTGGGTCCCGAATTATTTTAGGTACTACACTAGTTCGGTCCCGAATTATTTTAGGTACTACACTAGTTCGGTCCCGGATTTTTATAGTTACTACACTAGTTGGGTCCTGAATTATTTTAGCTACAACACTAGTTCTTGAATATTTGTTGGTAAGTACTACACTGTACTAACATTTTCCTTCCCATTTTAACAGACTGTCTATCATCTATTTAGATCACAGGTATGGTTAAAAATGTTTTTTACAGTTTTTTTTTAACCTAATCAACTCGTCGAGGTTTAACCGGCATTTATCGCTGTTCCAGATAGTTTATTATAAGATATGTCAAAAATTATCAGATATTCCCGATAACATTGAAATTATTACAAGGATGCTCGAAAATCACTAACGTCTTTTTTTATTACGAATATCCCAATAGGTATATTATGTACGTATAGGTACTTTTCATTAACTTTTCAATTTAATAAAATTGTATTAATATTATTGTATAATATTTTAAGTTATTATAATATTTTTACTAACTGTCAATTACTTATACTTTAATATTTAAAAATAACTGTAAAAAACATTTTTAACCATACCTGTGGTCTAAATAGATCATAGACAGTCTGTTAAAATGGGAATGAAAATGTTAGTAAGTACTTACCAACAAATATTCGGGAACTATAATAATTCGAGACCCAACTAGTATAGTTCCTTTAAAAATCCGGGACCCAACTAGTACACTACCTGCGATTAGCCCCTAGAATTCGGGACCCAACTCGGATGCGCCGATCTCGGAAGCTCCGTCTAAAACCCACCAGTGCATTTCGACTGCTCCCTCTAACCAAATGCCAATTTCGAATGATGGTTATATGTGCAAACAATAAGTGTGATCGGGTTAGAAATCGATGAAAGCACGCGGGCGGAACTCGGGAAATGTTCACCGGCACCCCTCGAGAAAGAAAACGTCAAATTTTCCAAAAATTATTTGAATTCGGAGAGCAACAAAACGATTTTACAACGCACTTTCTTCGCAGAAAAAATCATATTTTCTCCGGGTATTAACCGAACCGCCGGAGATTTCTCGAGTCCGCGAGACCGGAACGCGCGCGTTCTTAACGGTTCCGGCAGCTGCTCCGGGCCGGCCGGCCAAGCGATAATTGCGCGCGCGCGCGCGCGCGCTACGACTCTGTGCGGACGGAACCGCGAACAGGGCTGTCTGTACCGGCGGCGGCGGCGGTGTTCGGCGACGCCGCCGCCACACGTGTTGCCGACGCGGCGCATCGCGCACACGCGTACACCGCGCTCGTTCGCTCGATCCGTTTCGTCCGTCGCAGGCGCCGCGCCGTCCGGTCCGCCAGCCGCCGCGAGTGTTGTGCGCGTGCTTTCCGTTGTTTTGGGGCAAACGGTTTTTTTTTTATTTCCGGCCCGCTCTCACGATCTCGTCATCAGTGGCGGTTTACGTGACCGTCATCTGCATGTGGTAATGTAAACACGAATCCGTCGCGACACTCGCGCTCAAGGCATACCCGGTCATATAATAGGTGCGAAACCGACGGAGACGAAACATTTGCGCCCAAATGGAGTTTGCGGCGCTCGGCTGTAGGTGAAGAAATTGTTTTTTTTTTCCTCTTTTTTCGGTTTCTCGCATTTGCCCGTACCGTACTGTTCTGCGGCCCAATATCGGAACGCGGCCGGTTTTCGTGTATGAATAGGCACCACGGCGGCGGCCGTAGCAATTAACCAAAGTTATTAAATCGGCTAAACTATACAATTATTATGTCGTACGACTTCAAAAACAATAGGTACCTGCACATTTTTTAATGGCCCTCGTTAATTGCGTATTATCGTTCATCGTAACCGATTTAACGCACACATAGTACCTTTCTACTCGGGTCTATATTTGAAGCCATCCGTTTTACATTGTTCGTATTTACGCTTGTACACTCTCAAAAACATGTACAACTGCAATGATTGTATTATGCCTACACACGTTAACGACGACTGAATCGTGATGGTCATACTGTTGATTGGGTTTGACGATTATTTTTTCGTACACACACACACACACACACACACACACTGTACACCGCGTTTTGGATGGTGCTGTAACTCGACCAAAAAGGAATATTCTCATTTTCCATACGCACAGAGTTATCAAAACATAAAACTGTACGAAAACGTACGACGATCAATTATTAGGTACGATTTAAAACGCAGAACAAAATACGTCCGAAATATAACGATCGAGAATCGGTGATTGGTCTAGTAAATTATATGATTCGCGAGAGCATTTTCAGGATGTGATTTAATCTATGTATTCGCATGCTGCACCGAGTCGAGGGTATTGATCTGTTTTCTACAACATACAAACTCGTTTTAATGTCAACGCATATTAACGTTCTGCCAAATATACGTTGCATAATTTTCACGTAGTCTGTAAAGATTGGAGAATATTGTACGATGAACTGAAATCATCCGAATCCTTAAATAATATTTGAAACACTTCTCCCTATATTCTCATTAAGTTCCCATTAGATTTCAAAATATCAACGATAAACACTGTTACCTATATAATGTATAAAATCTGTAATAGATTTTAACGTGTTTCAGTTGTAACAAACTAATGGTTTTGATAAATAGATACGATTATAGTAAAATGTAGCAATAAAATTAATTTAACTATATTGTCAAAATAAAAACAAAGTACAACTGCAAGTACCTAACCTGCAAGTGTTCAATAAATGAATTAACTAGGTACTTTTTTTAGTTTTTCAATTGAAACCTATGTATATTTTTTTTTTGACAGTTGTACAACTGTTTTACTCACTACTCACAAATAATAAAAAGGGTTATGTTATCTTGAAATCATTTTTACTACATAGTCTTTAAGTTTTCAATTTTAATATTTTACCAGTTTTATTTTTACCTAACCAGGCTATGAATAACGTTTTTCAATGTTATGATATAATATGAAAATTAAATAGATCGCGTTCACCAACCATTATATTTTTATCTAAATTAATTTCTAAGTTTAAACAAATACGTGTAGGTATTATTTCCATTAGCAAAAAGATTATATATTATGTTGTACAATTTACATAGCTTTGAGTGTTTTCTTGAATGTTGCCATGCGTATATTTTTTAACCATCGAGTACCTATACATTGCATGTTTAACTGACATGTAAAATATTAATTTTGTTTGTATTATTATCGATAAGAATGGGTTTCATTTTTTTAGAACATGTCTATTAAGATTTAAGAATAAGTAATATTACTTCAGTTTTAAATTTTTACTGGAAATCTAAGAAATGTTTTATAGTTACAAACTATTGATGGGTACCTATAGGCTATAGATACATTTGACTTGGCTTAGTGTTTCTAAAAAATGTAAACCTCAATTTTTGTATACATTAGGTAATTCAAACTAATGGTTAATAATGAATTATTATTTATACCTAACCCATAATTCACTGATACAAATATAAGCAGTTAATTATTCTTTTAATTTCTAGCCAATTTCTAGGCAAATGATAATGACTACGGACATTATGTTTAGATTTTGAACCATTCGCACTGTTGACTTTAAATTAATTCGCTATACGATAAGTTGAAAAAATACACATATCAAATAGTAAGTATAGGTACATACTACATATATATATTTTTTTTAAAGAGCATGATTAATGGAGAGTCAGAGAGAAATATCAAATATATATATATACAACTGAATAAAACATCAGTAGGTATACTATTTATTAGTTATTAAAATATATACAAAAGATGCTTAAGTTACTCTACCCACGTCAAAATCATATCTTGATAGATCTGCGGTACCTACTTAAATACATTTCCTAAGTCCGAGGTTTGTCATAAAATATAGTGCTCCATCCAAGGTTATACTAAACATCGTTATAAAATAATCTAGGTTCTGCTAAAAGAATTAATTCCATAGATTTAAACCTGATATTTAAAAATAATTAATTGTATTGAAAAAAAAAAACAATATTTTGATTTGAATATAATATAGTAATATCATCGATTAATAAATAACCTATATTCATCACATTTTGACAGTCGATTTCTACTAACCACTCAACCGGAATTCAATGGAGTTTGAACGGCGTACTCATTAAGCAAAACGCCAATCACTATTGCCATCCCACATTTCCGAAAACAATAATTTCATATTTAATTCGTTGCCATTATAGGCATTATTGCTATATGTTACCGGGGCACATAATTTCCTTCCCTGAACTCTGAAGGTCAGCGGCACACCCATCGACGACTCTTCAACGATTAAGTACATTGTACAATGCATTATATTTTATACTTATGACTATATCAGCTGTACAAACAAGGGTAGTACTTATTTTTAGAGGTTGATTGTTTTCCCAACCTATAACCCTCTATAATCGTATGCTGTTCCATAAATAATATGTTGAAAATTTGTCTCGATCGTTTTGTACACTTCGACCTAAGATATTGCAGGTGTACGTGCTAGTACCTACCTATTATCATTATTGTTATTATTATTATTATTTGAATTGCATTCGAAAATCTATTTTTCTATTTTACTCCATTCAGAATATCGATTGATGTATAATAATGATAACCATGAATCACGTTCGTAAAATGTATTCCCGAAGTGAAATAATAAAACCTTTTTTGAAAAAAAGTATGTAAAAAACTTCAAATTTTCAAGGGCTATTTATTGGAACTTTGATGTTAAATAATAATATTAGTATTACTGATTAAATAAACTGTTTACATCAACTTCTAACTTATAGTTTTAAAAATTAACAATACATTCGTATGCCAAAGTTGATTTCAACGAATTCGATTATCATCATAATATGAGTCGCCTGGAAGAAGTTTTTGCCTTGGGATTGTATCTATTTAACTTTGAATCGTTACGTAAATGTCATGGGGGTCACAACAGATCAAAATTTGATAAAAAAAACTTTTTTTAAAAAAACAGGAGTGTTTTAAACTGCACTATTAATAATTATCTACAACAGACTGTGTAGTGCATATAAAACTTTGGCCATGGTGTAAAAATTCAAAAGGGCCCCATTCTCATTAAATTTAAACATAATTTTAAACTGTGTTATTTGGGTACCAACTATATCACATTAAATTATATAAAACGATAAAACTTTGAAACTTTGAGATTTTTAATTAGTACCTAAAATGGATAAAACAAAACATTGATTTTTTCTGCTAAATTATCCAGTAACCCGCTGGAGGTTGGTTAGCCCTAATGCGGTCGCATTGTCTTCATTGGCCTATTTACGCCACAGCAGTTGGCAGTATAATATACTAATAACTTTTTCAAAATATTATCTCCACAGAACGTAGGTATATTCATGATTTTTTTACTTTTTACAACTATTATTTTTCCACCAAAGATTTTCGTCGTCACGCATCGCCGTGTAGGTATCTGTCGGATTGTCAGCCAGCCGGTCATTTCACCGTTGACCGAACTCCGAAACGGTTATTCGCGTATCGGTTTCGTTATTGTAAATTATAATATGATTTCCCTACAAATTACAATAAAATATAACAACATAATAATATATTTATTTTTTATGTACAGCAAACTAATAAATAATATCGCATATCTATGCAGTACACACTGCTGCAATATTATCATAATTTAATATTATGTTATAATATTTATATATGTATGTATGAGTACCGATATGTGTTATGTTTTATTATTATTAGAATCGCAGAATTCCAGAAGATCCGACAGTAATATGTCATCCATCGCACCTGAAGACCGACCGTTCATATTCCGCGTCAACGATAACGGCACTGGCCCAGTTCTGCTCATACAGGTAATTGGTTAAGTTCGGTATCGTGTATAACATACGATCGGTCCTTTGGGAACCCCTGCGCAGTGTTTTAAAAATATTTTCCAGTCTGCTGGCCGTTTTATAGGAAATCCATAGGGCGTTGGCGTTCGAAAGTGTTATTTTCTCCACACTTCACTAGCCTTGGTGTCGCCTAAAAAAAAAAAAAAAACAATAAAAGAACTATGTAGGTAATTTAGGGCATAAATTTAGGTTATAAATCAGCCGATAATGCCCATCTGTTATATACGCTATCCTACGTTTTTTTCACGAACACTTCATCCTCTCATTGGGCTCTAATATTTTTCTTATACATATTCAAACGATATAATATTACTATATCCTCGTCTTGCCCTTTAATAAATGTCACGAACCTAACTCCATCGCAACGGCAATTATTATAGATATTTGCGAGTTACAACTTACAACCGCTTCAGTAGAAAAATAATTAATATAACATCAAACAATGGAACTTGCGGGATTGTTATTTACGTACGGCATGCACGTCGTTCCCTACATTTGGTTAGTATGTCGCCCTATAACATTTCTGTGGAATTAGCCTTGACGGCATAATTTGTCATTTAAGAATTTTATTTAAGGCTTATTCGTTACACAACGTTTAGTTTCGTATTTTCGTATGAAACTACAATAGGGAATAATATGAAAAAATATATCCCATAATATCTAACTGCTAAATCAACTTCGATAAATGGAAACGTCTTATCCTTGGTATGAAATGCGAATGTCGCTTTGAATAATAAATCGTCGCATGGACTAAGACAACATCTTATTATACATTTATAAGATGCACTCACACAGAAGCCGGAATAAAAAAAAAACCAAACGTATAACATGTTTTAAAAAACACTAAATTAAAATCGACCACGTGCACGGTTTATGTACTATAAATAGAAGAATTTTAATCACCCGGCAAAAAAATAAAAATATACAAGCCATAATATACACATACATTTTTATTTGTTGTAGTAGTGTAGCATTTTGTCTTGTATTTTTCATTTCTAGATCATTAAAATATTTTCACAGCATACCTATTTGGTATTCTTATTTTTTCACTTTTTTTTTACACATAAATTGAACGCATTCATTTTATAGCTGGAAAATTAAAATAATGTCAAACTTTTGCACACTGACAAAAGAATATAGAAGGCCTATAAATGAAATAAATTGCACTATAGTATAATACAACTAAACGTCTTACTAAATTATATTATGTACGATATTATAATATCATAATGTGTATCATATAAACAAAACTAAAACTTTTGAGTATTGCACTGTTGCATGTAGAATGTACAATATTACAATTTAATAATTACTATATATGTCATTATAATCAGTGAAAAAATATTGACAGCTATAATTTAGTTAATTGACTTCTAAATATTAACTAGCTAGTTAGTATAATAAAAACTCTACTTTGTAGAGTAAGACGATAAAGTGAATCATCATTAAAAATAAGTTTTATAAAAAGTAACGATGATTATTAAATCTATGAATTATGATAAAATATACATATTATTCTGTGTCTATAATTACAAATAATCTCATGGAAACTGACATACATACAAAAATATAAAATGTTAAATTAAAATGTACTATATTATAATTTCTATACTTGTGTACGTAGGTTATATGAACATAGTTCATTTAATTATTTACAAAATATATAATTTTACAAAAAAAAAAATTCCCTAGATACATAATATTGAATATTTTAATCATGATATAAAGCGTTTACAATGTGTATCCTAAATGTAAGTCTATAATTATTAGGTATTACATCATAAATAGATGCATAATTGTAATAGATGTTAATACTAAGGTTATTTGTTTAGCATGCAATTCGAATTTATTGATTATTGATGTATATTTTATTTGAATTAAAACAAGTAGGTACAAAAAATAGTATCAATTCTAACTTATTGGACATCTCAAGAATTATAAAATACACTTATTATGACGCTTTAATAGCATTCTCGTTGACAATACATTTTTATCATCATTATTATAAAGTATTTAATATTTATACCCAATGGTTGTCATCAATATTATAAACTTTGATCTTAAACGCAATGTATAATAGAATTTAAATAATTTTCCCTTTTATTTCGGTGTGGTTATTGTATCCATCAGCCACTGTTTTTTAAACGTATTACCCGACTACTATAGACTATATAGTTAACTTGTTAATATTTATTTAACGATTATAATAATTAATCGTTTTTACGGTTGACGAAGACTGACGGTGCTTCATTTTTTCGCTTTTAAATCCAATGGGCAATATGTCACATCATTATAAAAAACACGTGTACACAAAATTTAAATACAAAACATTATTAGTACATACTCATTGCACAGTGCACAAACTACACCAAAGCCACCTAACCGTCAACATAAGTCATAACTATACAGTGCCGGTCGGCGATCACACATTGTTGTTTCATCAAGAACCGTATAATGCGTATATAAACTCGTCCATATTTGAACGATATGAGGAAACGCAGTAATTTTTTTTTATTATAATGCATATAAACGCACGTTGCACATAATTATTTTTTAAAGGGGTAAATATAAAGGGTGCAGCGATCCAATATATTTGTTCACTGCCGCACGAAGTTAGCTTTTGAAAACGCGCACACCCATTAAATACCCATACCATATGTATAGTATAAAACCCGTACAATTAAGTATTAATTCTGTATGTAGTATATTATGTACCTACTGCATTATAATACTGTGAATTTCGTATTGGTACAAAATATCGAGTTCGATATTATTAAGGTGTAGTACGCGTGTTTTTCCAGTCTGTTTCGTTTGTAAACTTTACTCCCGAACAGTACCTATGATGTATAAATAATAACAATAATAATGATACCGAGAAAAAACTAAAATAATAACTATAGGTAAGTACCCAACTTTGCTCGCATTATATTTTTTCTATGATGAATCAATTCCGACGACAGCGTATGAATTACACCCCCCCCCCCAAATATAAGTGTTTCTACGACCGGAAAGAAACACCGATCGTCGACGTCGTTGTTATGATTATTACGAATATCATTTATATGGTTATTTCTAACTACACCTATAATTATTGTTATTATTATTATTATAACGTTGGCGTAACGCAGTGCAGTCTAAACATTTCAATTAGTGTGTATTATTATTATCATATAAAAGTTAACGGGAAGGTGTGTGCGAGTGTGCGTACCGCAATGTTTATTTTCTGTCGATCGGAAGTCGACCGGGTCTCGGGTGAGGGGTGGTGGTGGTGGTGGTGGTGGTGGTGGTGGTGGTGGTAGTGGTAGTGGTTACTGGTTACACACACCGCTGCAGCGTGGGGAATTCGAGAACATTGCACAGGACGAGCGCATAGCCAATAAAATAATTGGATTATCCTGAGTAACATTTTTTTTTCACTTTTTTTTCCCACCATTGTAACTGTTATCATTTTTTTTTTTTGCTCTGTCGCTCACAGGTGTGTCAAGAACGTGGCTGGAAGGAATACGATGGTACTAAGAGCGGAGACTCCGCGTGGTCGGTGCCGGCCGACGAGTATTGGAACCTGTGGTGGAAATCGACCGGATTCTCGTTGTCACACTATAAACAGCAGAAAATATGGCAGGTATGTTCGGTATACGTGGTATACTATTATAAGTGTGAGCGTAAATTATTTCTCGTATATATGATGTGTGTGTGTGTGAATGTTATACGCCGCCACACATTGTCCTCAGAGATCGCGTAAGTTGACCTGATTCCGAGGTAATATATATATATATATTTGTTTTTAAACGCATCGATTGAACGCAGCTGTCTTTGACGTCTCTGCGCCAAAAACTAAACGATGCGGCGACGACGCGGTTTCTGTTCACGTGCAAAACACATATACATTATACAATGTACACATATGCATTATGAGCAATGTAAAAAATATCAAAATAGGACGCATTACATAATAATATACTTACTGCTTGACAGTATAATGGACTTGTGCAAGTATATACTATTAATTTAATTAGGTATTAAAACGTGCACGTTAGCCACCACGAATCAGACATCATGATGATATCATAATAATAATTTTAGCTTTAATATTATATAATTATAATTATACACTGCCTCGTTGATCAAATACGGAAAATGTTATTATTTATAATTATAATGCTCGAAAATTGCCAGACGCAAAATGTCCAAGTTTTCTACATGGCTTGTAATATATATGTTACGCCGTTACGGGCAAAGTGGAAAATTCGGGCAATGTATACAATGCCCGGGCATTGTACACAGTGACCGGGCATTGTATACAATGTCCGAGGTATATTGGGCAATGTAAATTGTGAAGTATTTATACAAATAATCTGCATAATATTATTTTACCTAATCAATGATATTATATACTAATTTAATTATACTCGTTTATATGGTTATTTATATAAGAGTATTACAATTTTCTTTTAATTAATTAAATTTTAAATGTATTTAAAGGTAATGCAATAAAATATTATGTGCATAATGTTCAGTTATATGATATTTTACATGAAAATCATTTGTCAATGGAGGTAGAAATAGAATGGAACACGAGATTAATAAAAAGTACAAAAATATAACTAGAGATGTAATGATGTTATACTTAAATAATTGCGAGTCGTATAAAAAGAAGGGAAGTACAGCTAAAAAAGGGTTGGTTGTAAAACCAATCATATCTTCTGAAATGAATTCTCGCTGTCAAATTTACTTGATCGACATGCAAGCACAATCAGATGGCGATTATAAGTTCATATTAGTTTATCAGGATCATCTAACAAAATATATTATGCAGATTATTTGTATAAATACTTCACAATTTACATTGCCCAATATACCTCGGACATTGTATACAATGCCCAGTCACTGTGTACAATGCCCGGGCATTATTTACATAATTTTCCACTTTGCCCGTAACATATATATATATATATATATACATTAACAGTCCAATTTACATTAATCTTCTTCAGTCAGTTGACATATACCTAATATCGTTAAACGTCGTGATGGCAGTATTTTTTTTTCTCCGAAATTCTCCCCTGTAAACTATACTTGGCCTGTGTAATTGTGCCTGTATATAGTGTGTATAATTAATCGTATAACAACGTCGTTCGTACAAAAAAAAAAATCGTTTTTGTGCGTCACGGTCGAGTAGGTATTATATTTATATTTGGTGTGATACATTATCACATAGCTACTGTGACGATTATTTTTGAAAAAAATGTTCATCGCGTTTACTCACGTGTTTGACGAAAAAACGTCATTCTCGCTTCTAAACTTCAACTAGAGGCTATATAGCTACAAGTACTCGTACCTACCTATAATTACTATTGTTGTCGGGTAAATTTTTTTTAGTTCTATTATTCGTTATACAGTTTTGAGTTTATTCATTAAATTCGTACTTGCTTGAAACTAATACATTCCACTATATACTATGTATAAGTGTGTTGTTAGCATAAAGAGAAAGTATGATAAATAAAAATGTTAACCAATTTTTGTACTATTTTTAAAAATTAAATTTTAGTGTAACTTTACTGCAGTATACTTATAGTTTTAGTATGCACGTATAGCCTTATAGGTAATGTAATTAATAAAACGTTTTTTTTTTTTTGTTCAAAAATTTCACGTAAAATTATAACGTTACTAATGGAATTAATTAACAATAATTATTACCTAGCAATATATTACATACCATGTAGTTAAAATTTTTAGTTTCATTGGATTTTTATCTACGTTTAAACGTCCCGAATTTTTGTGTGCACGAAAATTTAAAAATGTCTAGTTATTATAAAACATATTGCTGACACTTAAGAATTCAATTTCATAATAATCGATTTATATTTACGTATGTAAATATATGCGCATACATAATATTGTTTTCACGAGGCAACTCGGGTACAATTAAAGGATACCCGTTACAATAGATTCGGCATGAATATATAATTATTATTATTATTTTTAACTAAACGCAATGGTTGAATGTCAATGTACGTAACAGTGTGTGTGTTGTTGCTTTTACTGTCCATTAGTTCAACAACCATATACCCAGCGGATCAGCATTGTGCCGGAAGGACAACTTGTGGCGGTATTTGAAATGCATGAAGAATATATTCGGCACGTCGCTGTTCGGGTTCAGGTAATTGACATTAATACGGTTAGATTTTCATGTAAATATATCGAAAAATGCCTTGTACGGGGTAAAAATACAAAACGATAATAATAATAATGGGAATAATATAAAAAAAAAATAACAAATAATCTAAGAACACATAATATACCTACAATACGATGGGTGGGTATAAGTATCGATACAATTACTGTATGCACGCAAGTGTTCGTATTGCATATGAGATACGCCTCGTGTATTAAAAAACGAAAAACAAAATAATAATGTTACATTGTGTTTTCATATGGGGTGGTACGATATAAAAACACGAGAATGAACACTGTGTCGTTTAATACGTAACAGTTTATTGTTTACCCTTTATACCTATACTGTGTAAATACTAAAAAGCCTATATAGTTCCCACTGGAGGGTTATTCTGGTTATAGATCTGACTCCGGGTATAGAGTGCAATAAGCATATAATATTTGGCAAAACCCCATTTTATTTTATTTTCATTTTTTTAAGAGTTTATGATTTTTAATCAAATATTTTATGTGTAATTAACCTGATTCAACCATGTGAGAAATTTCAATTTTTCAACGGTATTTTTTCAGCGGTACTTACTTCATTTTAGTATCAATTTTTTTCTGCTGCTAATTTTTAGTCATGTGCATGATAGATTAACAAATTATTATACCATGATATTAAATTGAGTTGTTTTATTTTAATACAATACAGTAAATATTATTGTATTATGTTTTAATATTTTACTAATTTGTTTAGTCAATAATGATATAGGTAATATGAAACATTAATCTGTAATTTTATTTCTATGCCTACCCCCTAATTACGATGAAGCTTAAAAGTATAAAACTTAGAGGCGACTAAAAAAATAAATCAAAATAATATAACTAGTATAATAGTATACAGGTGATCCAACAAGTATCCTCACCCCCTTTTTTCTTTAATAATGAAGTTTCTGTTTAGTAATCTGATTTTTGGAATCTTTAAATTTACTTAAAGGCCATATTTTCATATTCTTGAGATTTTTTGTGCTGTTTACGGAGTGTTCTGTAGCGATACGAACCTTAGTTTTTCAAATGAGAACCCGAATTTTTTTCTTTAAATTATTTAGCGGATAACTTTTTGAAAATTTTGATGTATCGAAATCAAAATTCGAACGAGTGGTTTCCTAGTTATTGGGCAATTTGTACTCAGGATAATAGTCCATATGTTTATGTTTATACAGTTCTATAGTATTCTACACATGGAATAAGAAAAATAACTAAAAAATCAAGAAGGATTTTACTTGCTATTTACCTAAGTGTTTGACTAAATAAATATAAAATGACGTATTATTTCATATTATGTGTATATAGACTATAGATAACAACGTATACTGTTTAAGCATATCCTTCTTCCCTATTATAATATTATAAACTATATTAACCTTAGCACAAAATGTGTAATAGTTAGAAAACTACTCGTTCGAATTTTGATTTCAATACATCAAAATACTCAAAAAAATTATCAGCTAAATAATTTACAGTAAAAAAGTGGGGTTCCTAATTGAAAAACCAAAGTTTGTATCGCCACAGGACACTCCTTAAGTGGTACAAAAATATTAAGAATATGAAAATATGGTCTTTGAGTATGTTTAAATATTCCAAAAATCAGATTTTGAAAAACTTCATTGTTAAAGAAAAAAGGGAGGTGAGCATACTTGTTGGATCACCCTGTATATTATGCTTCTTAGTGGTTAAAAATAATTATCCATGGGCCCGTATAAATAAACTGCAATAGTTTTATTTAAAATATTAACATATCTGCATTTTACATACTATATGGCGTATGCAGCATACCATACCATAGTTTTACGCGTGAGTATAAATATGCAAGTACCTTTGTAATATGTCGTGACTAAAAGCTACTGACATGGAAAGTTTTCATAAACAAATAATATGGGTCATGATATCATAATACTTATGTGGTAATGTCTAATTATACAGTAGATAGGTACATTACAGAGTGTTGAGAAGTGAATGTTTTCTAAATGCACTTATGTGTTTATTGTTTAAGTTTAAACATGTTTTAAAATCGAATTATTCATCACTCATCAAATTAGAAAATTTTCCATCGAGGGTCAAGTGCTCGTTACATAAATATGACGGTCTGAGTATAAATTAACAGTCTTGTTTTAAACACAATAGTGAAACCTCTGTTTACGCCTTTACGAACACCCCTTAGTAGTGAGTACGCTCTCAAAATCGGACACTTCGAAATTCTCCGGCATAAATATTCATGTTAAAATACCCCTAATCAGTAAACAGACACATTTTAACTCCCCTACAATGTATTGTGAGGTTTCATCGTATTATGCAGACCACACCCAATTATCGAGTAAAGTTAAATTAGAAATTATATAAAATCGGTTATGAGCATTTCAAAGGTTAGATATACGGTTTGATACCTATACAATACACGAATGATCATTCTTTATTAACCACGTATATATGAGTAGCAAATAATATAGCAATAATGTTTTGTCCTTGGTATCCATTGGTTTCACCGGTAACACAATCATTAACTACCTAATATATGTAATTATATTTGTCTGTCAAGTGGTGAGGGTGGTTTCTTAAATGGGAAAAATTACCCAGATAGGGTGGGAATTATCATCCCCCACGTGCCACACACGCGATCCGTATTCAGGTGTTTGTTTTTACATTTCTTCATAGACGGGCAACGGCACATAAAATATTATTATTATAGTTATACATAATGCAAGTTATTTTTTAGGCCCCTGTACATAGTGCAATAGAACAATTTTATTTGGCCGTGACATGTTAAACGACCATAAAACTTGTGACTGGTTGTTTCCACTGCAAAGGGCAAAAAAAAAACTCCGGCCCCCCTGATAACATATTTTTATCCGAATTGTTCCATCGGGTAGGGAAAGTAAAAGCTATTTATGGACTACAGTGTAATGCGTATCCTTCCTATATTATGTAGCGACATCACGGAAACCGTCCTATAAGCTTTAATAGAGTTGATTTTCATATAATATAATACGTTTTTTTTTATGTCGAGTTAGTATACTTTAACTTAAATACTTTTTATATTTGTATGTTTTTGCCCCCTTCCTCGACATGAATTATCAGTCCAGACTCCTACAACCTGCCGCTAGAGTATACAAAGTTAGCTGCCGAATGCAGCCATGACACTGACGTCGGAGAGAAGTCGATTTGGATATGCAAACCGGTTGGCCAAAGTCAAGGAAAAGGCATATCTTTGATTTCGGTATGTATGTATATGTAGTATTATGTGTTTAATATGAAATTTACATATTGTACATATTAACTAGATTCGTCGTACGCGGCTATGCTCGGGATAAAAATGTATTTTTTAATGTCTTGAAAAACCCCGACTCCATCCTAGTGGTGAATTGGTTTTTATAAAAAAAAAAGTGGTGAAACCTAGCAGATTATACCACAGTTCTAATTCTATTTCACAGCTCAGCTTTCATGGGGGAAGAGTTTGTCGATCTTATTGGTAATAAAGCCTTCTACGAAAAATTATCTACAATATTATACTTATAGAACCTGCAATAGAGGACTTACACAACTGCTTGTAAATCGAGTCTGTAGTTTTGGAGATTATTCTATACAAACATAGCCGCATGACGAGGGACATTATTTTATAATATATACGGTACTGAAAAAATGACTCGTTCCGTACACGCACAATGTAATAACATGAAAACTAGACAGCAAGAGCAAAACAATATCTTGGTCGACCCGACAACCGAGATCACAGTTTAGTGTCGTTTCGTTGCACTCGTAGTAGCTTATAATATATTATTGTGTTCAAAGCAAATCGGAGAGCTCGTTTATGACACAAACATCGTGGTCCAGAGGTACGTGAAGAATCCTATGCTCATCGGAGGATACAAGTACGATCTGCGGTTGTACGTGCTGGTGCCGTCGTTTCATCCGCTCACCATATACGTCTACAGGGAGGGACTGACCCGATTCAGTACCGACAAGTATTCGCTGAATAACCTCGACAACCACTTTGCGCACCTGACCAACAGTTCGATCAACAAGCTGGGCCCGAACTATTCGGAGACCAAGGAGAAAATCGGACTAGGTACCCGCCTATAATTATTATACAACAACAATATTTGTTTGCGATAGCGTGACAGTGATATATATTTTTTCGGGACAACTGGTTTTAATTTTAAAAGCTATTTTTTTTTAGTCCGTGTCAACTACTGTCATAATAATATAACGCACGTTTTTCGTTTGCACAACAGGATGCAAGTGGACCCTCCAACAGCTTCGGCAGCACATACGCCAAGCCGGAGTCAACGATTGGCTGTTGTGGCAAAAGATATCAGTTCTCGTCAGTCTTACGTTGGCCAGCCAATGCACGGGCATACCGAGCACGTCAAATTGTTTCGAGTTATACGGTTTCGACATACTGGTCGATTCTGATCTAAAGCCCTGGCTTCTAGAGGTATGTCAACAATATCGTAACGATAAACTTAATATCAGGAATGAACAATTGAACTTCTCGAAAGTTCGAAGTTCGAAGTTTGAAAAACTTCAGACCACTTTGAACTTTGAGAAACTCTAATAGCTTGAAATTAGAGAAAAATGTATGTTTGATTTCTGATTTTAACATCTCGAACAATTGGAGCATAATCAAGTTTGAAATGTTCGTGAATGACAGCAGGTTAACAGAATACGTTTTTTTTTTTGTTAAGCGTAAATACTATTTTACTACCATGCTTTGAAAATGGATATGGTTAAATATTTCAAATTTCAAACAACATTCTCAAGTATGGGAAACAATTAAGCTCCAGTGCACTAAAAAACTTGAGTTTGTTCCAATTAATAATATTTCATCAGTGTTCGCGCTAACAACAAAACAACCGATTACAAACATAATATATCAATATATTTATACTCGTATAATATAACCACTTTTGTAAGACTAAGACAGATTATTATTTGATCATTATTACAAAGATATTTTTAAGGTTACCTTTTAAAATATAACGTCGAAAAAATATATCTTAATAACATTAATAAGTTAAGATGACCTTATCGGAAAAACTTTAAATTAATAAAAAATAAATAAAAAATAAATAAACCAAAATATTTTATAAAACATGAAATTAAATAGTATTTTTATAGTTGATTTTGTATCCATTGAATTATTTATATAGCACAATTAAGTATTATATTACCATTTACTTACTCAGTGACCCATGTCTTTACAACGATTTCTAAATGTCGCTCGGTAAAATAAATTCGATAAGTAAAAATAAAACTGCAAACATACACCCTGGACTGAGTAACGAACATTATATTACTGCCATAATTACATTTACTTTGTATTTTATTATTCGTAATTTTCCAGTTTATCTTTTTTTATTCGGTTCCGCACAACAACTTCATTGTCGCTAGACACGAGGAAATTAAGCACGCGTAACATCGGCTAAGACGCTTTTAATTTAAATAATAATGGGTGTATGTGTTTCCTTTTTAAAAACTGTAGTTTGTTTGCCCTAATTACACACTATTATCAAACTAAAACTTTTAAATCTCGAAACGACAATACACTGTAATTATATAGAGATCCCGAGTCTCGACGACGGTTGCGAAAAAAAAAAATCGTTAATCTATAACTAACACACTGCAATCGTATACGAATGAGAGGTCGATTGCCGCAAATTGCAGGTTCCCAAATCCGCGGACAGATATTTGATGGGCGCAAAAAACCAAAAAAAAACTCAACTATCGGGATATTTTATAAATTATACTGTTTAAAATTTACAGCATCGGCTAAGAGGTGTTTTTTAAAACGCACGACACGTCATCACTGCAATGCGATACTGTGGCCGACTGGTTTAAAAAAAAAAAAACAAAAACGCTTATTGCAGGTGAACCTCAGTCCGGCGCTGGGCAACGATTGCGACGTGGACAATCGGGTGAAAAGGCCGCTGTTGCACGATATGTTCGACCTGCTCGGGCTGCCGATGTGTAACACCGGTCTGTCGCTGTTCCGGATGGCATGCCGGTCGGCGTCGGGTCCGCGGTTCGGCGACGGACGGCCGACCGCGTTGGCCGCCGCCGCCACGGAAAAGTGGAAGTCGAAACGCAAGACGAACAACAACAACAACAACAACAACACCGCCGCCGCCGCCAACAACAACAACAACAACAACAACGCCGTCAACGCTGCGAAGAGAGACGGCGGCGCGGCCCCGGTGACGTCGACCATTACGCAGTCACAGACTTCGGCGCGTCAATCGACGCTGTACGGTCCGGGCAAGCAGCGGGGCGCGACCACTGCGCAAGCCGCGGCCGCCGCCGACATGTGCAACTCGCCGTTCCGGCCGCCAGTGTGGGGCAACGGTCGGGACTGGAGCAGGCCCGCCGACTCGGAAGGCGACTGGGTCCGGGTGTTCCCTTTCGTGCCGTCCCCTCGGCAATTGCCGCGGTCCGGCGTCCGGCCGTCGCAGCAGCAGCAGCAGCAGCAGTTCTGCGCCCGCAGGTCTGCGTCGTCGTCGTCGCCGTCCGAGACGGGCACGGCCCGCGCCACCATCAAGACGATTCAAGAGTACCTAAAGTGTTGCAAGAAGGTGGCCAGGTCATGCGAGGGCCTGTCCGTCGTGCCGGACGGCGAACTCAACGAGAAGCTCAGAGACCTGTTCCCGGCCGCGACGATGACGTGGCTGCCACCCCACTGAAAGACTTGATATTTTATTTTGATTGAAATTCGTTCGCCACCTTACCTAAAGTATATTAATTAATATTTATTATGTTATATCGATTGTTATTGCGCATATATTGTACTATCGTTTGATGTTAAATTGTTGTTAATATACCAAGCATATTATATTTTTTGTAATATTTATCGATGAATGACAGTTATTTCGAATTATTATCAACTATTAAAATATAGTTAGGTAGGTAAAAATAATTGTAAACTTTTTGTTTTTTTTTTCTTTCTTCTCGCTCTCTCCAAATTATTATATTATATTTAAAACGTAATCTTATGATGCATAATAAAATTATTGTGTTCTACGAACATAAACGTTGTTATATTATTTTCCATGATGAATTAATAATATTATAATACCTACATTGTTATCTCGCTAATTATATATTTTTCTTCTCACCTTAATGTATTAACGTACCTGTAATAATATAATATAATATATATATATATAATAGTATAATACACATGTTATGTAACGTTTGTCATTTCAGCGTGACAAATGCCATTTTATTCGATTAGTATAATATTATATACTATCTATGCATTTGTTTCGAATGTTTCGACATTATGCATGATAAACATTATTTAAGAACAACAGTAATATAATAAATTGTATGATGTCTATACTATTGTCGTTGATCCGATTAACTATACAAACGAGTCTGAAATATTATATTATATTAGCATATTACCTAGGTACACTGTTTTTTTTTTTTTAATATTTACCATTATTTTCGAGAACGGCTTGCTCAATAATAAATAATATTAATTATTGTTGTTTAATCGATATGATTAATCCTCAAAACCATTCCGCCAGCATACAACGGTTATCCTTACTACAGTTTCCTACTCGTGAATTAACTAGTACATTACCCCCCCCCCTCTCTATTTGTACTACAATAATTCGTATCAATAAGGTTTAGCTATTACACGTACCATCGATAAATATAGAATGCAAGCATCCAAAGTATAAAAACTAACGCTACGTAGTACATTACAATATTGCGTGCACTAATTATACTTATAATTCAACAACAAATTGAAGAATATACGTTAAGTATATGCATATAAGTGTATAACCATTATAAATTCATTAAAACAATAATCAAACATTGTTTAGTGTATTATATACTGTATATAACAGCTTATTTTTTCAATACAATCGTTCAAAGTAATATTATAACAACACGAAAACTTCATGAAAATATTCAGAAATAGTAAAATATTATGTCTAAGTGGTATAAACCATCTGGGGTAATATTTTAGTTAATAATAATAAATAGTCAATAAAAATAATATATTTCACTACCAAATCATGATTATAGCGCATAAACCCTATTCATTATTATACATTATTATACTATACCTATAATACTATACAATAATGTATAAAATATTGAAATATAACATTTTTTTTCAATGTAAGTCAATATTGTTTATTATGAAACAACAGTAACTAATATACAAGTTGAAATTAAGTATAAACAAAAACAAGAATTTAATGAGCGAGGTATTATCCGTCTACAATAAAATACGTAGACTACATCTATTAAATATCAGAAATACAAAATTACAACATTATTTTGTATGCCTACAAAAAATACATTTATGAATACACAAAAATAACAAACTTTCACTTTTAACAATAATTAAAATAAAAAAGTAAGGAGTTCAAAACTAATGTATCACTTTCGTTTTGCGTGAGTTAAATTCCGGTAAAAATAATTTGGCACTGTAGTAGAATAACAGTGAATAAGCCTACTCGAGGTTATAAATAATAATAAGCTCGGTCCCGATTTTGATTATACTTACTACATTTAGTTTATGTATTAAACGTCAAAAATGTATTACATGCTTAGTCCTACAAAGTTGACAGTATGAAATAATTTTTTCGGACACAAAAATTGTTTTTCAAAATAGATTACATTATATAGATATATTACATAAGCATTATTATGTTAGAGTTATAATGTAGGATTATGTCATGCCAATAGTGTCCCGGAACCGTATCTTTTAAGTATTATTTTTTTGTTACTACCTGTGATGTATACGATATATAATATGAATGTATACTAAGGAGATGATATTTAAATTAAACTAGAATATAAATGCAGTGGTAAACCATTAGTTTCATTGAGTTGTTGTTAGACTAAAATAGTACCAGAAGATCAAATCTATCCAATAATATTTATAGAACTTATTCTAGACTACCTCTAAAACCATCCTATTGATATTAGTAGGTTGTAGGTACCTATACCGTATGCATAATAATTGAATATGTATAAATAATACAAATTTATCTACCTACGTATTATCAAAAATGTGTAAAATCGTAACTAATATATTATAGTAAAGAATGTACTAAAAAATTGTTACTGAATCACAGCTTATTACACGTTAAGTTACAGACATTTAATGGGTTAGGAGACAAATGTAATAAAGTTAAATCATAAATGCTATAGAGATTAAATAAAAATTTATACTGAGGATAACGTACTGGACTAAATGTTTCTTTTCGATACAGTCAACGGACGTTCCTAATGTACATTCGAGTATATAGTTTGATTTTTTCTAGGCAATTCTTTGAAAAAAAACATAATAAACGAGTAAAAAAAAACATAAAATTAATTTAGTAATAAAAATATACAATATATAATACGTTGTATAAAAATAAACGGTACATTTCCTAGCGGACATTTCACGATTTTAAATAATCGCTCCATAACTTATAATAATACGATTATATGTGGAGATGCATAAGACACTAAATTATAATATATTGGACGCTAAATAATGTTTAGGGGACCATATTGGCTCACTATTGACTCATTAAATGTTTAATGATTGTATATGCGTGACCCGGCATTAGTCTCCGATACATCGCGTTGGGCTTCAGTGTGATATGCTCGCGGGCCGCCTGTGTTCGAGCACCTTCCTGAGCTGTTTTCGGGTGTTGCAGGCCACGGTCAACGAACAAGATGCGGTTGGATGACCGGCGACTGTCGCGGCGGCGCTGCCCGCGGAACTGTTGCAGTTACCATCCGACGAAAAATTTGGTTCGAGCACCTGTTGTTGCAATGGGAGGCTGGGCGCCGGTACAGGAAATGTGGGTTCGAACACTTCCAGCTGCGGACTCACCATGAGCGAAGCGACCGAACTGTCAAGACAGTGATCCCCGTTGTCAGCCAGGCTGAGTATGAGTTCCTCGACGCTGAACTCTTCAGCCACTTGCAGCGGTTCGTCGACGGCGACCTCGTGGTGCGGTTCGCAAACAGCGAAATCCGTATCCGGTTTGGACACCAGGATGTCGTCGAACGGTATGAGTTCGACGGCCGCCGCCCCCGCCGATTCGGCATCCGACTGCTCGACGGCCGTCACTGTCTGCCGGACGGGCTCGTCGACGAACTGCAGTTCCTGCACCGTCTCCGTGGCTATGGACATGGCCGGGGGCTGACTCGAATCGTCTTCCGTCACCGTCTCGTAGCTGGCGCCGTTGATTACCGGCATCATCAACAGGCTGGACATCAACTCGCCGTTGTCCATCACGCACAAGCTGATCGTGCCGTTGGCGTCCTGGCCGACCTTCTGCACGTCAACGTTGCACTCAACCGACAGCTTGACCGGCATGTCGTCGTCCGGCTCGGCCAGGATCATCTTCTGCACAGTGGCCGTGCTCGAATCCGTGCCCACCCCCGTGAAAGTTCGTATTGCAATGCCTGAAAGGTATGCATCCACCTCCACCTCGGCTGTTTCGCATCGCTTTAGTGCTTCGATGTTGGCCTTCGACAGCGGTATGACTAGTTGGCCTGCAATTGTATCGATATAGTATTAGATTTTGACTGGTCAACATAGTGTGTATCAGAGGTTCCCAAACTGTGGGTCGCGACCCAAAAGTGGGCAATACAAAAATATAATCATCTATTACTTTTCGTTGATGTTCAAAGTTCAAATTCAGTTTTATCGTCAATCCTAATCTGTGAGTATGACAATTAAGAGTTTACCAGCGGCCGTGTCAAATACTATATATTATACTTATTATACTTTTTTTTCGTAATTATATAAAATTTAATAAAATAGTTTAATTTTCTGTTGTATGGTAAAAAAAAAAAAAAGGTCATTCATTGATATTGTGGGTCGCCATATTTTCAAAATTTTCAAAATGGGTCGTACAATAAAAGGTTTGGGAACAACCTCTGGTGTGTACTGTTCTAAACAGTGGCAAAACTAAGGTAGTGAGGAGGTGACCCACGTCTCCGAAATTTAAGTTTTTTTCCTTACGAATTCTACGTAATACGCATGGTTAAACAATTTGTATGGTAATTACGGTCTATACAGACATTATATTATTCGTTGTAAGTTATAGCAAAAAGTATGCACTTCACCTAGATTTTACTCATAAATTCCAAACATCTGTTAAGAAAAAATTTTGAAATTAATACCCCAACCCCCGCGAAACCTGGTTGAGCCACTTATACTGAACCAGTCGCAAAGTACGTACTTTGATATTTTAAGAATTCCGAAGTCGTGCTGTTGGTCTCACTATCAAAATGCTGTAGCAAGTCATCGGCAAAATCCGACAGGGTCTCTGACTCATCCCAAATATCGTGACTCCGCTGGTGAGTCTTAAGACTAGCCTTTCCAGGGAACGACTTGTTGCAATTCGGTCGGTCGCACGTGTAAAGTTTGTCGGCTGAATGCGTCCGCTTGTGCGTTTTCAGATGATGGCTGGCCGTAAACGCTCGACCGCAACCTTCTTCTGCGCATCTGAAAATCATGACAATAAACGGAAGCTTAATATAAGCGTGCACATTTGTTCATTTGTTCAAGATTGTTGTTAATAGATTTCTACGTATTTCGTAATATTATGTAAGGTATATAGTAAAAACTTTTACAGGACCAACGTTATAAACCTGTAAGATGAGCATCTGTACTTATTAGTTATTGTGATATTATGACATAGCTAATATTTAATATGTATATTACAATAGGTATTGTTTATTACTTGTATGGTCGTTCTTGGGTGTGCGTTCTATAATGCTTCTTAAGATCACTAAAAGTCGTAAAACACTTGCCGCAGCCTGCTTGTATACAGTCGAAAGTGTCACCAGTGTGCAAGCGTTGATGAGCTCGTAGCCTGTACTACAAACAACCGTAGGTCCATCATATTTCTAAAATATTACTGAAATAACTTGAGTGAGATAATCGAAATCTTTACCTGTAAACGGTGTTAAATGCTTTTTGACATTCCTCCTTGGTGCAGACAAATGGTTTTTGTTTCGTATGCACACGTTCATGGATTTTCAAACTGTATGACGTCAAAAACGGTTTACCGCAGTCAATTATGTTACACTTGAACCGGTATTCACCTAACAATGAATATTCAAATACTTCATTGCAATGTATTAACGTATGTAAATTGGAAATTTAAACCTTAATGATAAACATTGTATTGAAAAAATGATTCTGGTATTTATTGAAATATGATTAAAATTGATTTTTTTTTATTTATTCCTCCAAGATGTAGAGACATTATTTAGCAATATTTTGCGAATTTATTAAAATTAAATAACAACAAAACCATCGGAATATAAATTATAGTTTTGAAAAAAGGTACCGCATAATTGCATAAAACACACAAATTGCCTACTCTTATACTTCTAAAAAAGTATAACTTATTTAAACAAAAGGTCATTGCACCACACTCTAAGACAAGTATAAAAATTATGACTTAACTAGTTACTTTTGTAAACCTAACATTAGTTGGCCAAAAAAATAATGAACGTAAGGCAATGATAACTATTTGACATCTGGAGATTTCGGTACTATAATCTGACATTTAATATAATATATATTAAGTAAATTTAATAAAAAACATTATTTGTTGTATAGAGAATAATTTTACAAAATACGATTTTTAAATACCTATAACGTGAAGCGGCTGCTGAATTTAAAAATAATTTATGTACCATGCACTATATTATAATGCGATAAACCAACTGTGCATAATAACTGTTAAAATATGTATAAGTAGATACATTTTGTTTAGCACTTATTTCTTAATATTTACACACCTTTATGTGTCTTCATGTGAGTGCGGAGATTTCCCACTGTGCTGTATGTTCTTTTGCACCCAGTGAATTCACAGTAATGTCTTTTAGTATCAGACTGGTCAGGTGGAGTGTCATTGCTGAATGAACTTTGAGATAAATCGTCTTGAAACCCTTCTTGTAATGTAATATCATTTTGTGGTTTGACGTCATATTGCACATAACTATTTGTTTGATAGTTGTAATGGATAAAACTGTAAAACAAAAATGTTTGTAACTACTTATATGTAATTGTAAGTTACAGAAGTTAGAACTAACCAGTTATAGTGTATATATATATTATAATAATTTATTTTAGTATAAAGCGCCTAAGCGCCATACATAATATATTAGGTATTATTATTTGTTTTTACCCAACGCCATAGGCGTGTCTACGGGGGAGGCAGGGTGGGCACCGGCCTCCCCAGCGACGTTCTTGACCTCTTGGATTATAATGGTGAAACCACGAATATAATAGAATATATTATAGATTATATTTATAAGTATAGTATATCCGTGGCTGAAGCAGTAATTGATCGATAAGAAATGTTATCAATGTCAATAAAGTTTTCGTCTATAGATGGGTTACGTAATAATCACGGACTATATTATAGTGACTATAATATTATAGTCTATAATCGGTATTTAAATCGTAGTAGTGGTGGTAGCTGCTGCACAGTGCACTGTTATCATTTGGTAAATAATAATACAACTAGCTTGCTCCGTACATAGTTGAATAATATAATACACGTGTCTCGCGTTTTTTCCTTATGTGACAATATTGTTTGAAACACGAAACATATTATTAATAATTTAATTAGTTAGATTATTTAGAATTGTGATTTTAATCTCAAAAAGTTTTTCATTGAGACATTAACCATGAAAAAACGAAAAACCATATCTGATTATTTCAAAAATAATACGCCAAGTACAAGTAAGTAAAAATATTAAGTATTTTTATCTTTATAAACACCTTAAACTAATTCAATACATTTATTTGATATTTTGTATTTTTACACAAAAAATGTAAATACCTAACAACATAACTGCATCAGTTTATTTAATTTAAATAATAGTACACTGTAAAATTATTGAATTTGTAAGTAATTGTCTGTATTAATCAATTAGGTACACAATCAGATACATATACATTGTTGGAGGAATCCGAGGTAGACAATCCTTTACCTTATTCTAGTGTTTCATATACTACAACAGATTCAACTGGTAATTGGTATTATTTACTGTTAATGATTAAAATATAGCTACATATAAATATAAGTTCAAATAAATAAATTTTCATGGTATTTATTTTAAGAAAATTCCAACCCTGGTGAAACTGAACCGTCAAAATCTAACTTCCAGTCATTATTACCATGTAATATGGAAACATCGGAAACAGCATCTACTGGTATGAACAAATTTTCTTTAAATTTTTTTTTTTTGTGTTGAGATATCATTTGTGATTAACTATAACTACCACTTGTGTTTCCCAATTACTTTTTTTTACAAGTGTTCAATATATTGTGTTAGCTGTTTTAGTTAATTTGTATTGTTGTTCTTAATATTATATGTAACTAACTTATTACTTATGTATTGTTTTGTATTTAACCCCTATGTTACTGTCTTATTATTGTATTAATTAGTTAATTATGTTTATGTTAATTAATCTGTTAATTCTAACCATGACCTAAGGACTCAATTGTCAACAAAAAAATTGAAAATGTATGTTAATAAAGTAAGAAGAATAAGTAAGATTGTAAGAACATAACATGTCACATGTGTATATCCTAATGATAGGTAGAAATAATATTATAATAATAATAATTTGTTATTTTGTCTATGTTCTATGTTGGGTTAACTGTTTGTGTTCAATGTTTCAAAATTGTTATTATGTATATTAGGTAAATAAATATTGTAATTTTTTACTTTTGTAGTAACCATTAATCAATAAACTTTATTACTAATTAGTTACATTAGTTATACCTAACTGATAATATTTGTGTTGATCAATGTTGTATATTTATGTTTGTATATAATATACTTCATATTATTTAAATGTTGTTATTTATGTAATAAATTTATTAAGAAAACAAGTTTTAAAATTTTAAACACTAAATGATCAAATCAAGTATAATGTACTAAATTTAAATTGTTTATCTTATGCATGAATTCTAAAAATTTTAGATCCTGATAATCCTGATGATCCTGCTAATTTATTACCGATATCCCAGTTAGAACGTAAAGATAGGGTTGTTCGAGGCCCATTTCAACCCAAACTTAAATTGTATCCACGAACAAAGTTTGGAGACAGATTTCGGTGCTTTAATAAATCTTGGTATGAATTATTCAATTGGCTTGAGTACAGTGTGAAATTAGACAGAGCTTTTTGTTTTCCCTGTCGGATGTTCACTAATTCTTCAGGAATAAATGCTGGCCATACAGAGTCTACGTATTCAAAAGTTGGATTTAATAATTGGAAATTAGCTACAACTAAATTTAAAGCACACCAAACTTCAAACACTCATTTAAATAGTATAACTTCATTAACAAACTTTTTGCATTTAAAGCCAATAGATACAGTTTTAGATGAAGAGAGAGAACATATACACAGTCAAAAAGAACAGCAAAGATTAAAAAATAGACAAATCATGCAACGCTTAATTGATATAACTCTGTGTATAGGTATTGGTGGACGTTCATTCCGAGGAAAAAATGAAAAGGAAACTAGTTACAATAAAGGTCTGTTCAAAGATATTGTTACACTTTTGGCCAAATATGATCCTCTTCTTAAATCTCACTTAGAATTAGGTCCTAAAAACGCGACTTACTGTAGTAATATAATTCAAAATGATCTAATTATATCAATAAGTCAAGTACTAAAAAATCAGTTAAAACATAAAATTGAAAATAAAAAAATATCAATTATTGCTGACGAGACAAGCGATTTAGGACACCACGAACAGCTATCAATAGTTTTAAGGTATTTTGATGATGAGAAAAAATGTCCAGTGGAGCAGTTTGTAGGTATGAAAAGAATAATGTCAACTGATTCGCAGACTATTTTTAATGCAATAAGTGATGTTATTAATGACTTTGGTATAAAATGGGAGTCTGTTTTATCAATGTGCTTTGATGGTGCAGCAACAATGTCGGGAAGTGTAAACGGAGTTCAAGCTAAATTCAAAAAGGAAAATGATAAAGCGTTCTTTGTTCATTGCTATGGACATTGTCTCAATTTGATCTTAGTAGATTCAGTTGGGAGAGAAAATAGAATAACTTTTGATTTTTTTGGTAACATTCAGTTGATCTACTCATTTATTGAAGGCAGTTGCACTAGACACGGTATTCTGGAAACAATTGCAAATTCTTTAAACTTAAAACTTAAGACCTTAAAGTCTGTATCAACAACACGGTGGGCCTGCCGTGCAGAAGCAGTTAGTGCTATTAAAGAAAACTATACAGCATTGTTGGTTGCTATAAAAGAAATTTCGGATAGAACAAAGCAGGCTGATGTAAGAGCAAAAGCATTAGGAATATTAAATCAAATGAAAACCTTTGAATTTATATTTGCAATGCTTATGTTAAATCCTATTTTATCCTTAGTTTTAAAAGTAAGTGTGTATCTGCAATCTTCGAACATAAATTTATTAACTGCTGTTGAACTTGTTACATCACTGAAACATTCTTTAATGTCATTAAGAAGCAATGAAAAAGAATTCCAAGACATTTTTAAAAAAACTGTTCAAATGTGCAACGATAATGATATTTTGATACCCGATTTGAAAAGAAGAAGAGTTTCATCTAAAATTGATGAATCTCATAAAACTCAACATATAATGAAGAATAAAGAAGAAGAAATGAAAATATCAGTGTTTTTTCCAATGTTAGATAGAATGATAAGTGATATAGAAATTAGATTTAATCAAGAGACTATTAATATGATAAAGTGTGTTGCGCGTTTGATAAAACAAGAAGTTACTAATGATGATCTTATAAATTTGTCCAATATATTTGTAGTTGATTTTAATGATTTAGATGCTGAGATTCGATTACTTAAATCAAATTGCTCAATCAGTAAAGACAACATAAATACATGCGATGATTTAATAAAATGGTTGGCTGATTATGGAACTGGAAGAGATATTATATTTCAAAATATATTTAAAATTCTAAAAGAATTTGTGACTATTCCGGTTACAAGCTGTTCCTGTGAAAGAACTTTCTCGAAGTTAAGTTTTATTAAAACAAAACTTAGGAGCACAATGCAGCAAGACCGGTTGGATGCATTATTAACAATAAGTATTGAACAGGAGTCTGCCTACAATATAAATATTGATGATGTCATTGAACATTTTAAAATACTAAAACCAGTTAGTAGGCGAATGGAATTGTAAATTTATTGGATTTTATTAGTTGTAATATTTTAATAAATTACTTGTTTAACCAAACTAATAAATAACTGTTTTATGTGTATTGTTTATTGTGTAGTAACTGTAATAAGATGTATAGAGAAGGTTGATGTACCTACTACCTGTCCTATAGTTGATAAAATATTTATAAAAAAAAACTAAGTAGGTAGCACATTAGTTAATACTTTAATAGGCCTTATTTATTGGTTCATAGTTGTAATAGCATATAAGAAAACCAATTTTAAGATCAAGAAAATCTTTAATTTGGCGGGGTGAAAAAATTCCAGGTGCTATACGTATAATTTTCATACAACAAAAATAAGATACAAATATAGATATATATTATAGATCGCTGTAATATGTAAAAAAATTTAAATTTTATAACTGGCCTCCCCAGCCATGGAGGTCTGGACACGCCTATGCCCAACGCATAAGTATACTGAAATAATCATAGTCATATTTCATATTTCATATTGAACAGTAAATACCTTAACCCTCTGAGGCACACTGTACCTACGCCCTACATTAATTTAACACTATTATTTGAATAAAAGCCACAAAATTATCTGTTCAGTGTACCTAACAACAAACAACTAGACAAGCAAAGTTAACTATGTACTTATATAAGTTATGTATATATCATATTGTACGTACTAGAAAATACAAAATGCACTCTTTAATGATGTGATGTTTTAAAACATGACATTAAAATATTTATGGCATAATAAAATATATGCAGTAAGATGTTTTATTTAATTAACACTGCATACATTGACGAATTTTGAACTATTTCCAAAATTATATTTCTGCTGCAATAATAGTTATAGGTTTAATAGAAAATAAATATGTATATTTAAAAAAATCTTTGAAAAATTAATTTCAAATGGTATTCGGTGTACAGAAAACTACATAAAATAAAATTTATATTTTTGGTCAAAATAAGGCTTGAAAGTTTTATAGGCTTTTCTTAATATTTCAGCTAGATAACTTAAATAATTATAATATTTATGTCAACAAATAATATCATCTAATAGGTATCAATAATGAATGTACCTAGGTAGGTACCTAATTATTTCATAAATAAATTGTTTCAGGCTTTAATTTAAGAAACAAAAATAATAATTTATGAAAATTAGTGGTAACGCTGAGCCTTTAGTAACATATTTTAGAAAAATATAATTAGTATTTATTATTATATGAACCTACTATCATCAATAAGACTCGGAATGTAATGCACTCGGAAATTGTTTTTATGCCCTTAAAGTACGAAACAATGCATATATAAATTGTTTTATTATCGACTAGTTTACGAAGATCAAAGACCCAAGATCCAAAAATATTTTTTATTAAATTTAAAAAAAAGTTTTACCCCAATTCTCATTTTCATTCCCCTTAAGTGAACTTTTAATCTGAAAAGAGAATTCTTCATAATTCTTCTTAATTTTCCATCTCCACTCGTAATCTCAATTTTACTTCGTACAGATCCGTTTGAAAAAATAAAATTAATAATATTCGATTAGGTAAAAACCTTATTAGCACGTTATAAAAATATGTTTTATTATTACTGGTGGGTCACGATTAAAACTGAGTTCATGGCAATATAATATGCCGCGCCGCCGTGCAGTCGATATAGTCACTGTGCGCCGTCTTAATATCTTACTTTAATTAAATACTAATTAAGTAATAAGTTATAATAATTGTAATCAAATTTTGTTTTTAGAACTTATTTTTAATATTGTAAATAAAGGTCGAGATAGGTTTTCCGGGATAAATTTTGAGTTAATTCCAAAAAAATTGAAAACCACTTCTCTAAACAAATTACGGTATAAACAATAAAAACATATGATATACAATTATCAAAACATTTTTAAGAAATAAAAACTTTTATCTGCTTCAAAAATACTTAAAACATTTATGTTTTAAGATGAATATCATTTAGATGACTTTGGAAAACAATGTGAAGTGCACAGAAATCTAATGCAGCACCACAGTGATCAATAATTAATCAACTTAACTATGATATAATATAGTTATTCCCATAAAATATAAAACAATCAAGGTATAAAGAAGAAGTTCTATAGAAATATAATACTATAAATAGACAACAGAATTTATTTTGTGATTTGGGTGAATAAATCAATAGAGAGGAACTTGTAACTATATACCTTTCACATTTGTCATTCACACAAATGAATGATTTAGGTTCTCAAGTTTGATATTCAACACATTTTTGCAAGCTACTAAAAAATTATAATTGACTTTAATCGTGTATGAAATGTATTGTTTTAGCCTAAAGTAATGAATAATTTATAATTTAAAATGAATCATTTCGTTGTTTATGAACACTACTGCAAGTACATTTATAAAGTAATAAACTATAGTAAATATGCGAATGTACACGCCAAAGAAAAAAATTATGCAATAGTCATGTTTTCATCAGTGTATATAAATAAATATAAATTATATTATATGATTTACGTCTAAGATGTAAAACTGCATGGATTTTAAAACTATTAAATTAACGATTATATATAAATGACACAAATCACTACCTGAATAGTTTATTCTTTTGTAAACATTATATTGTCTTAAGTAATGAGTGTATCAAATGTTTTACCTATTAAATGTTTGTATTAAAAATTCTCAAATATCTGAAATTTCTAACTGACTGCATTTTAAACTTGATTTATTTATTCATTTAATATTGAACTTAAATAAAAATGTAGTCGGACAATTTGTGATGCCACGTAGTTGCGTGAAATTATAATAAAATACATTCAGATTCATTCAGTCAACAAAATATGTTGGCTAGGTCACTATTTTTGATGACCTATGACTCACGATAATGCAAGTTGTCATATTCTGTCTTAAACTGCAGTATTATAAAAACTAGTTGAGTCAAATCAACTAATTTTATTTTTACAAAATATAAAATCGTAAGTTCAAAAAATATAACTTAATATGTCGATAAAAAAAAATTACAATATTACAATTATACCAAAAGTCTCAATCGTAAAAGTAGCAAAATGTCTTGTTTGTATCACAAATATTAGGCTAAAATAATAAGCCCCAAGCGTGACATACGAATTTTATCTCCAAAATTTTCAATGTATGATAGACCTATAAAATCACTCATACTTGTATGTATAAATAACCTATACTCTATAGTAATAATTATATTAATGAAACTTTACTTTCAAAGATTGTATGTACCTATGAAATGGGCATCAAAGTTAAAGTTGTAGTTTAAAAAAAATTGTAAATAGATAGGTAGATGCCAAATTTTTCTATACCATCAGTGTGAGTATTATTTTTCTTAACGCCTCAAGTTATGTATTATTTAAATAGTCAAAATTATTTTAATCAATATTGCATTAATTATTAATGTATTAACACCTACGTATTTAAATTTGCCATTTCCCCCTATACTATAATGACTCATCAAGCCACAACATATTACTATTCTAATAGTATTGAAGTATAATCTTTTAACGTTTGTGTGAAACTTATTCAAGTTTTTTTGCGAATTTTCACATGCTCAGCAATAAAGGAGTTTGTGAGTAATAAGTATACTATACTTGTTTCTGTTTTTAATTTCTTATACTCGTATAGGTATCCGATTCATATTATCAGTTAACTAAAACACTTATCCCAGTGAAATATCTAGAACTATATAATAACAGATAACATGCACGATGATGAACAGATTTTCATCGTTGTGATGTGAACAAAACTAATATCCTTCATAAAAACGTAATATAAACTTCTGTAGCATATTGTCCTGCAGTCAAAATATTTACAATCACGTGGTTTTTTAATTTTTATCGGGTTAAAAAATGTGTGTACCTGCCTATCTGTACGAAGGATATTGTACACGTTTGTTTTATTGAAATGAGTATTTAAATATGTCGCGGTTTTATTTAGTATTTATGGGTGGAGGCGTGCAGTGGAAAAGGAATATAGAAACACACTATTATAATATTGTAGCAATGTAGCATCAAGTATACACATACATATATACACTCATGTGTTCGAGTGACCAGCCTGCGCGGCAGTTACCATACGGCGTGGGACGATCCGAAAGTCGTGAATTTAATATTATATCGGCTACGTCAGAATACACAGCAAAAACTTCGTGACTGGCGACGACTTGTCCCCGGCGGTCTTCGCGCAGGACGCAAACTTAATAATAATATAATATTACAACGAGGTATATCGTCGTCGTCGTCGTCGTCGTCGTCGTCATGGTATTCGTGAAATCGTACCACTGTACCTATATATAACAAGTAGTTATAGGTGCGTACAGCACCTGTCTATGTGACTGTGTATGATGCCAATAATCTGTTTTCTTTCGAATCTCCGAAGCCTAAAATCGTCCACCACGAGCGTCGAGCATAATATTATAAAAATATTATCGTAATACGGTTCGGCGGGCACTTTTAAAATGGCCAACTACGAGAACAGTAGATAAGCCGTAAGCCATACACCTAATACGCCTAACCAACAGTCGAGGAACTCGTCGAACCATCAGCTCTGCGAGACCCACCGCAAGTAACCGGTTGGTCACTCGGTCCTCGGTCGGGTTGGACTCTCAACCCAAATACCTGAAACTCTTCATACTTATGAGTTATGACATTTCATACAACCGCACTCACCTGTACTCGGTGTTGCAGAAGAACGCGGCGCCGCTGCGGTCCTCGCAGTCTTCTTCCTCCGCCGTCCTCGGCTGCTGCGGCGGCGGCGGCGGCGGAACTACGGGACTCGGCGGCTGTTGCTGTTGCTGCTGCTGTTGCTGCTGTTGCTGCTGCTGCTGCTGTTCCGGGCCGTTGTTGTAAACGAGCGCGACAACTTGTTCCATCACGACCACAACGCATAATAACCGACGGAACCCGCGATCGCCGTATTTCCGTCACGCGCGGTGATGATATTATTATTATTATTATTATTATTAGTACGTCGAAGAGGCGCGATCGTTTCGCTAATCACGCTCGGCGACGGCGACTAGAGCTGCTACAGTGGAATAATGCACGAGAGCGAAACGCGTCTCGGAAACGTGACACCGCCGCAACGGCTCGGCCACGGCGGTGGCGACGGCGTCGGGCAGTCATCCGCCTGCAGCCGGTCGTGGTGGGAAAAAGACGTGGGCGCGGACGCGGAGGAGGCGAAAATACGTAAATGACGTGGCGGCGACCTTGGGCCGCGCGACGGTGGCCGACTGTACAACGGCGGTGGCCGCTGCAGATGGCAGATGGTCAGCGTGCGCCAAAATAATAAAATCAAAGCCGACAACGACAAACCCTTTTCGCGCGCCGCGCACGACGACAACGACCGCGATGGGGCCGCCCGTGCGACCGCGTTCGTGTCGGCGGCGGCGGCCCGCGGCCGCGGTCTTCGATCTCCGCACGGCGTCGCGCGCGCGCCGAGCTCTACATTTTCAATTATATTATAGAGTATTATTATATTATATATTTATATGTTTAAAAATAATACTCGTCGTGCGTGCGTGCGCGGCCGCCGACCGTTTTTTTGGCATCCACAGTGCGCAATGTTTACCGGACAATAAACAATATGGTTTTTTTTTACTATTTACACTCCTCACACGCCCACCCAGCACCACGCGTGTACACTTTTGTATTGTATTAACGATGCAGTTGATTCGATTAGTGATTAAGTTTATACTTTAAATCAAACTTGCGTACCTAAATAATTCAATAAAATATTTACCATATTATAATAATATAGTGAAATTTCTAAATAAAAATAGGTATGTGTATACATGTTTTACTTTTAACCATAAACATTATAAGTACCTATAAAATGCATAGAAACACTCAATAAAAATAAATAACAAAAATACCTAAACAATTTAAAAATTTTACTAGAAAAATGTTAGTTTACCTAGAAGCAATTTTTTTTACGTAGGTACCCTACATATATACATTTAAAACAAACAAAATAAAAAACCCAAACTTGCATATTATGCATTTTTTAAAAGACAAAATTACAGATCTATGTACATAATCTGAAATTAAAAATGAGTTTGAATAAAATCTAAACTTTTATTACCGTAAACTGTAGATTGTGATACATTAACCTCTGTCTAGTGAACGATAATAACATACGAGTAGGTAAGTATCTAATGTACCTCGTATTTTCCTAAACGTATTACCTATATGTATTTGTATTTAAGATTTTTAAACAACTAAAGCTTTATAATCATAAATAGGTACCTGTATCTGGTATACTAGTATAGCAATATTCACAAAAAAAACACGTGAATTCCCAAAGTGTTAGTGAGTCATACATAGGTGTATTTGATGTTTTTGCCAAGTTTCTCAAATATTATATACCTAGTACTAAAACAACATTATTATTTTTTTATTGCCTTCCTATTCCCTAGCATCATCTAGTCTAATTTCCACAGATATAACAGTTAGCAATCTAGTTTATTATATTCTTTGTCTGTGCACTCTACAAGCTAGTACTAAAGGTAGCTGGGACAGGCTGAAGTTCAGACACAGCAATAACCTAAGATCTTTGTGACTTTGCATCTCCTTAGGGTATCCATATCCTGGAGGAAATCCCAGCTCACTCTCATGGAAGAGATCATGACTTTTTCGGTGGAGACCCTGCACCTCAAGGAGGGATAAGAGAGGACAAGACAGGAGGTAGAACGTCAGTCATAAACGGGAAGCAAGAGTGACGGGCTCGACAAGAAGATAAAAAACACCGGAAGTCTAGGACGACTGGCCCAAGACCGGCCTGATAATAGAGGACCCTTGTACTTGATGCGAAGGTAGCAAATTAGATCACTCCAAGGTCTGATTATTCATTCTTAGTTAGAATTTAGGTAATACCTAAATTTTGAATTGTGGGTGGATACCGGACTAAATATTATGTATTTACGTTCGACTACAAAACGCACCTATATTATTTACGATCTATATTCTTTTTTTTTTGGATTAAGTCTTCAACTACCTACTAATAAGGTTATTGACCTGGTACTGTGTGGGGGAATGGTTTGTTGGATCGCGTTTGTATGTGTGACAAGGATGTGTAGCAAAAACCCGGGTGGTCACCCATCCGAGTGCTAGCAACGACCGCCCGTACGTACATATAGTGTTGCCGCAGATTGAGCGTACGACCGAGCCTCACCAAGCCACGATCTATATTCTATAAAGATATTAAAATAATAATATAAAAATGTCTATAAAAAAATAAAATGTGTTTATACGTAAATATTTTATTTATTTTTTTTAGTGTATGAAATACTTAAGAAACCTTGTACTAAATGTTCAAACATTAGGCTACCTATATAAAATTGGACATTTCATATATTTTTAAAGCAAGTTTTTTCCACAGAATAATTTTAAACTATAATTTATAAATTATAATATAACTTTAGACCTAAAATTCAGACCTTCATAAAATATATTTGAGGAATTAGGCTCAATTTTTTTTTTTTCAAGTAATAATAATTTTTATTTCACTTGATTATGAACATCAATGCTAATACCGTTTAGGTGGGGCCAAGTGTAGCGTCAACAGTTTTTCTATTTTGATAAAACAAATTCAATGTCCATAGATTACATTGTACATACAATACTTTCAAGTTTGTGGTATCAATAAACTAGAAACATTTAATTTCATATATAACCCAAAATCATCAAATCAATGGTAATGCTAACATTTTATCTATTAAAAAATAAATTAATTTGTTAGTTTAAAATTACATATAAATTAATTAAAATTAAGACTATAGGATTAAGTTATAACTAATTACTTATCAATCTACATAATATGATTCATAAATAATTTTACATTCCTAACCTTTTGGAAAGAAAACATATCACAAACAATACTTATTGAGCAGAATAGCAGATATTTAGATTTTACATATATTTATTGAGTTTATGCAACTCAATGGGGGTAAAAAATCTGAAAGACTTATCCAGTAAAGAATTTGTGGAATAAAATGTACTCTGCATATCAAAAGGCAAAAGCATAATACTATGGAGATTATAGAATATTTGGTCTATTATGCCAATTAAATCAATATTTCATATTTAAGAATATAATATTGTACTATTTGTTTACAAAAAATCAAACTTGTTCATATCTTGAGTTGAAAATATTTTGTCACAAAAAATGAAAAATTATAGAAATTTTTCAATAATTTGATTCTAATTCAATTTAAAATTGTTTAATTAGTTTGATTATTTTAAGTGTGAATACATTTATAATCAAAGGAAAGGTAACTATGCAATAATTGTTTTCAAGTTTTAGTATATTGTCACATGATATGCAATTAATGGATGGTATATATAAATATTATAATTATATTAAAAGCATCAAGATCTCCGAATACTAAAATATATCTTCACATAACATGAAGGTGCCCAATCCAAGACCTTAAAAGTTAAAGTGTCTCTCGCAAAATCAAAAACTAGTCGTTTTCTACTTCAAATTCACCTACTATAATGATCCAACCAATAAAAGAAACAATCTAGGCACATCTGATGTTGTATGTATAAAGTACTCATATTTTCTTGATTGACTGAGTACAGTACGAACACTAAAAACTTGTATGCATGAGTCAGTGGCACGGTTCTATAATATTACCAAACTATGAAATATATAATAAAAAAAAATGATATTAATGTTAAAATTTTGGAGGCGTAGCAATTTTATAATTTTTTTATTTTGAAAATGTACAATCTACCTCAAGGTACAATCAGCATTCTTTTTTTTTATCAGTCATGTTCAAAAATTATTTAATATTATATAAAATTTTAATACTTGTCAATGTTTAACCAAAATAATACAGTAGCCTAATGTTGAGATAATAAATCATTATGAATATTAGAATAGAACAAAGCAATTTAAACTTTTTATGTCAATTTAATTCAGTGTAATGAAACATAATTACAACATTTGAAAACCATAACTTAAAATTTCCTTTTCTTTTTTAAATTTTTTCCTTTGAACTTCTTCTTTCTTTTGTTACCGCTTTTTTCACTAAAATTTCCTCCAAGAGCTGAAATGTCTTCAAAATGTGTTACTTCTTTCCCTAATTTTCCAAGAGTAACTGATGATAATTGCTTAGCTCTATGTTTGTCCTTCTTGGTAACTGGCAACCTAGAAAAAATATTTTATTATTATAGATAAAACTTTGATGAATAGGTATGAAGGCATTTATTTATTAAGCGAGTCATTTTTAATTTATACCTTGTAAAATAGTCTTCTTCATACTTCTGCCTTTCATAATCGTACTTGGACTGTTTATTTTTTAACCCAACTGTATTAATTTGTACTTCAACTGGTGTATCTGCATATTCCTCTCGTAACTCTTGCATAACTGAACTTTGTAGTGCTCTCTTTTTTGCTCTTTCTAACAGTTTTTGTTTTTTAACTGCTCGTGACTCATCGCCATCATAAGGTACAGCTGTCACTTTAGGTGCTACATAAACACCATCCTTAGCTTTTTTTGAATTATGATGACCAGCTTCATCATTATCAGATTCTACATCTTCTTCATGATCTTCTGCATCTGCTAATCCATCAATAGTTGCACGAAACCGATCTGGATCATTAGGATCAACAGAACCAGATAATGCCGTCTTAACAAGCTTATCAATTTGGTATTTCATTTTAAATTCAAGAGGCCTTATGCGTTCTAGAACTGTTCGTTGCTCAACAAGACGTTCAATTGATGGATCATTTTTAATAGATTGAAATTTGCATTTTTTTAGTATAATATGAGTCAAATTATTTATATAGCTTAATAACGTATGGCATTTTATATCTAATAAACTTATGCCATTAGAAGCGTTGTACTCTTTGTTAATAATCTTATTTGTTGCTTCTTTGGCTTCCAAAATTCCAGACTTGATATCTTTAAGCAATTTTCTAGTTTGTGCACTACAATCCGGCTGGGTTTCTTCTTCTTCCATCATGAAACTAATTAATAATTATATTAGTCTATATAAATATAAATCAAATTTGAAATTAGAATACAATCATATAATACATAATGTATACACAGTAAACTGATAATTTAAAATTAAAACACTGTAGCAACGAGCAGCTTACTCAATCAAGCTAGCACCTTACTACTTACAAAACGTTACAATACTTACATATAATATACTAATCTATGCTATAAAAATAGTAAGTAGCAACGAAGCACAATATGGACACATGGTTAGTAAACACATAACACGTTATCATGTGGATCTATATATCCAAGGTTTATAGATAATAGATTATCTATAAACCTTGCTATATATCCACCTTGGTTATCACCACAGTCTTATCACTGTAAATTGTTATCATTTATGAATAAAATGTTGAGTTTTCAATTTTATTTTACTTTCGCCGCTAGACCGTAGGCTGTACAGTAAAGTTGTGGCACCAAACTTTGGTGACCAAAGAGTAAAGTCATGTTACTTTATGTGTGGCACCGTGATGTCATGGGTCACGATGTTGGGTGATACCACTTGTAAACATTCCGGGTGTCTATTTCAACCATAGACTATCAACTTGTTAATAGGTCTATGATTTCGACGGCAGTTTGATAGTACCGTACTACCGCGGGGTCGCGATAGGCAGGGGCACCATTAGCTCGAGGGCCTTTTTCTCATTTTTTTTGCATGTAAGATCCGCGGCAAAAAAAAATTTCCTTTGCTGTAAAATAATAAAAGATTGTGAAATTAAAACTGTGTTGTAGCCTGTAGGTACCTGAATCATTATTTTTTTATTATGAATATTACATACTATACTTCTATGTTTTCGTTGAATAAGTACCTACTAGTTACTACTTTCAATAATTAAAATAATGGAATACATACCATAAACCTACAAACTATTTTATTTATGGGTCTTTATGATACCCATTACCCATACGTCTATACTATTTACTAACATTTATATTTATCAATCAATCAGGACACATGTGAATATATATCACGAAGACACGAACTAAGATGTCTTAGACGGTGATAAATATATATTATAGAGTTTAGTAGATTATAGGACCCTAAAAGTACAATGTTAAAACGCATCAATAACTTACTAAGTAATAAAGAAACATTATTCTACATGGTTCTTGAAAATAACTATTATTTTTAATAATTAAAATTATAGAAACTAAAAAATAAGTAAGTATAAATAATTAGTTAGGTATCTGAAAATCAAAACACAATGAGTAATATTAATTCATAAAATAATGTATGTAATTAATAAAAATACGTCGTGGTCGTAGTTCTAAATTTATAATCAGCATATTTTATACTGGCACTCAACTTTGACTTAGCCGCTATATCTGAGTTCATAATTATTATTAATTCTTTAATATTTGATAACTCTCAATTCCCGTTGGCCATTTCTCATTACTCATTTATGATTTATTGGCTATTAACTGTTTTACAAAAAGGTTAGGTTAGGTTAGGTTTTTTTTATGATACAATTTTCAAACTATTTTTACTTTTTTTCGCTATTTATAACTTTGAGAATTTTTTTAAATTTCAGAAATCATTTTTCAGTTAGAAATTCTTAACAGTTTTTATTTTCATCAAAGATTCCCAAGAAGTTTGTCTACCTCTACCAAAAAAAAAAGTTCATCTGAAAATTTAATTAATTGCTTACTTTATTTCTTGATTTTTTGTTTTGCAGACTAAATAATGCTTTATTTCATCTACGGAAAGGAAATCAAACTTTTCCAAGGGATAGTATTCTCGCTTTATTTATTTCTGTATGTTTATAATTAGTTTAAAATTTAAATTATAATTTTTATCTTATAAGTTGGAAAATATTATCATTTTTATTTTTTTAGTATCTGTTATTCTTAGCATGGATTATGTCTTAAATTATTGTTTCGACTTCACCCACAGGTTTGTTACTTAAACTTATCAATGAAAAAATTCAACATTTTCACTGAAAATTTTAGTATTAATTCTATTATATACAAGGTTTAAACTGGGAAAAAATTCTAGGGAGACTAATGTTTCCATATAGTTTAAAGCGGTCCATAAAAAATTTCATGCATAATGTCTAATGTATAAAATCCTTATTGTTAAAAGGGATGCTTTTTAACCACTGTCAGAGGTAGGGGGACTGAGTCCTGTGTCACCCCACTTTAATCCCTTATTACATACTATTAAAACCAAGAATAACGATTTTTGTAATTTAAAAATATTATTCATGAGTATGTAGGTACATTGTTATATTTTTTACATCCAATGACATTTTCAAATGGAATTTTTTTGGTAAAAATTATTTAAACTACCTACTGACTAATGCCTAATAATATAAAAAATTACTTTAATCACAATAATACCATAAAATACTTAGTAGTATTATACTTACGACCGTCTTCATAGTTCACTCAGAATCGTTTTTCGTATATGATAATTTTATATCATTGTCTTCATATTTAACACATACATTACAGGAGACCCACATAATTGTTCTGTATCAGAGCCGCCGAACGTTACTTACCAGCTTTTAGATTCTGATTTCTGAGCATAGCAAATGAATGTATTGATTTTACAATGATGTGTGAGTGACGTAAGTTTTTTTTCAAGTTTAAAAAATATTGCATATTTTGGTTTACAAAATGTCCACACAAAAAATTTTTATCACTAATTTTATCTAAATTTACTTTTTAATACAAATTTTTTTTTGATGCATGAAGTATCAGATATCTTAATAGTTAATTGTAATTAGTACCAAATTATTTTAATATATATTTATTAAGAATCATTTCAGGTAAAAATTAGCGAGGAAAATACAACAGTTAAGCACAATGAAACAAGCTAAAAGAATTACAGATAAAAACAGTTTTAATAAAATGAAATTCGGGCGGAATTCTATGTTGAAGGGTGAAAGTATCATATCCAATAATTAAAAGATCATAATATCATATGCATTGTAGAGGATATTTTGGGCCACCACTACTGCACCGTCCTCCTCCAAGGCGGAGGAGGTCGGCCATCTACAACAACAGCAGAAATGGGAACCAGAGTGTATGAGCCAAATGCTGAGTTGACGGTGAACAATGAGACGTTTACTTTAAAATAATAATAATAATATTATTATTATTATTATTATAGCTGGAACACGTAGACGAACACGTAGACGAATGTTCGCACTTATCCAGACGTAGACGTAACTTGGAGGGTCTCGGAGAAGGGGGGCTAAGCCCCCAAACTTTTATTTTAGCCCCCTGTCAAAATTCCTATACTTCTATCAACGGTAGCTACATTAATACATTTTTTATTTAAAATATCGTTTTATAACTATAATATCATTTGTATGAGATGAGACTGTGTAGTTGTCAATAAAGTAAACAGCTGAGACCATATTATAACATCTTAAATTTTGACTGTGGAAAATTGATAACCAATGAATTCTATGTAAAGTTCTATGTGAATTTGGAAATGTATAGTATTTTGTAGTACTTATACTCAGGTAATGTAAAGAAAACCATCTCTGTTAAAATACATTAATATTATGTTTATTTTTTCATAGTGGACTCTGTTCCCACAAAAATTCCTTTTTATATTTTTGACCACCTTCACAGCTTTCAGGACAAGTGTAGACAGCTAAAACACCGAAGTTGAATGATTCTTCCTTGATTGAAGATTCTGGCAATTTTAAATAGTACAATATTTGTGGCATTATCTAAAAATAAAATAGAATTATAATTAAGAACTTTATTAGGTAATTAAGTTTAGATTTAACATACCTGAAATTCAAAACTTCTTTGTTTACCACAAAATTGGCAGGATGGAATATCATTAGCCTCAGGAATACGTTTACTACAGATCCACAATGGCGACTCTAAACGGTTGTACCTACAATGTTTTTAATAATTTATTAAAATTAATTTTAATATTTTATATAGCTGTTGAAGAAATCATTATAAAATACCTAATAATTTGTTCAGGAACTGAAGATATTGATTTTTTAAACTTTTCAAAATATTCATCATCTTTGTCACCTCCATAAGCCATTGCTAACAAAGATTCATCTAAACCATCCATATCTATGTATGACATAAAATAAATTAAAAAACAATACACCAAAACATAATTTAAATTTTAAATACAATAATACAATAATATACTACCTTGTAGAGAACCTTTTGGAATTTGAGCCTCATCACTATTTTCACTACAATCACTTTCATCATCTTCGCTATTCAATGATGCACTTTCAGAACCTTCATCTGACTCTTCATTAATAATATGTTCTGGTAACACCACAATGAACCTAAATGGTGCATTATGTATCATAATGATGTTTATTCATTCAAAAAGGTCATCAATAAATGTTTAGCACATTACTTGTTTTTCAATTCTTCATTTAAATCAATATTTTTATGGTGAAAACTGCAATAGACATTTTCATATTCCACTGTGGACTTGCACCCGCATACCTTTAAATTAAATACTGACATTTTAAATACAACAATGAGAATTTTAAAAATATATCTATTTGAGTATCAAATATATATACATTAGGACACTAAGATGTACTACCCGAATACATACTTTACATAATTTTACTCCCCACATATCAGGTGTAATATCTGGATCGTGGGGTTCAGCTGGTTCACTTGAATAGTAATCATTTTTTTTACGAAGCTGTGATCTGAAAACAGCAAACGTTCTTCCGTCTTTGCATTCATTGCAATAGAACACATACAGAGTTCGATGGAAACAAGAACCGCGAAATTCGGGTTCATCAATTGGTGCATACAACTGACACAAAAAAACTAGAGGAATGTTACACTTCGAACAGGCCAGCTCGCTTGCTTCTGGAATATGTTTCAAATCTAACCAAGCTGGTTTGCCGCCCACTTTGGATGGAAAAAAACGACTAGTAAGATTATAAGGTTCAGTGGTAGAATGTTCGTCAATAGTACCCAGCATAACAGACATGATTATCGAAAAATTAAAAACAATATTTATACTCTTACAATAAAAATATGGTAGGTATTTTTAAATAATATAGTATCTATACAACGCTCGCGGTCACGGCTAAAAATATGTTAGCCATGCTATATTTTGGCTTTTGCCACAATATACTATCATATTATAGATTACAGAACTTCACCAAAAAAGCCCTTATCACGATTTACGATAAATATTGGTAGTATGATAAAGTAACTGAAAAATTGGTAAGTGGTAACACACCCTGGTATATGGCGATATCATAACCGCAATAATAAAGAATATAAGTAAAATAAAATATCTTTTTAAGTTTTTTAATTGTTTTCATAACTCAATTACAGCTAATAATTTATATTAAGACTCCGATTCGGTTATAGCATATATAGATCACGACTAAATATGAGCACTTCATACATTTTCTATTTAGATTTTAGAGCAAGGTGTATTTTATATTTTAAATGCACTTTGCACGCTACACTATTAGAAAATTTAGAGCTAATAGATTAGTTGTACATTGATCACAGAAATCTTGAATGGGATCAATGAGATATATTTATCATAATATTATATCATACTATATTAAACAGGTGACCCAGTTAAATGGTACTTGTCTGTGTCTCAGTGGCGGACTGGGCACACATTACTTGATTACTTAGTCAGCTAAATAAAAAAGGTCCACTTCATTTAGGTACAATTAAGAAAAGCAAGTGCCTTGAACGTATTTTTGGGGCCCAGTCGGCGATTTCCGTCTTGCCCACCTGGCCAGGCCGCCACTGCTGTGTCTATACTCTATATGAAGTATAATTGTGCTATAAGCCTCCCGGCCCCATTGACAGTATTATTATTACTTAAAAAAATATATATTTATCAAGTTTCAACTGTCTTAAACTAGTAAGAAATGACATAAATTCATAATATACATCTTACCGGATTAGCCATAGCCAAAATTAATGAAAAATGGATGATAGCAGATACCGCTCGAGTCTTCAGTTAGTACCTATAGAAGGTCACAATGTGTTAAATTTACATTCAACGATTTATTATCCTCTATCCGAGTCTATCGGCTATATCATTGTTTATGAAAATCGTTTCTGATCGGAGACGGTGTGTCGACCTCGGACCTATGATATTTTATAAAATATTGACAAATATCATTGCACAATTTTAAATTTATTTATTTTTGTTTCTCCTGATTATTTTAAAAAGTACTGAGAATTTTCAATTTTGAACTCCCAAAAGTACCAACTGGCCTAGTTGAGGAATTGAAGTTGCACAAACATTTTAAAATACCTTATCGTCCTCATCTAAGTGTTTGAAATTATTAAACTCGAGAAATTATATTTTTTTGACTAGCCACTACGAAAATTGTTTTTGGTTCTTTTATCAATTTCATTTGATATAAATTATATAAAACGACGATTGAAAACACTTTTCTTTTACTAAGATCATCCCCTCGGACTTGCGGTCCATATATAGTTGTATAAGGTTAATGTTTACTGAATAAGACAAAATAATATTAAAAACTTTATTAGTTGTAAACTTGAAGCTATAATAAAAAAAAAAAAAAATATTAAAAACTCAGCGTAGGTATAAATTTTTATTTTAAACTCATCAATATCTAATGTAATAAACGTTTGAAATTCAATCACTCATAAAAATGTATATTATTTTACGCTAATTTTTTTTTGATCCAGTAACACAAAGTTTTTATGAAATTTATATTGAATGTTAAAGCATTTTTACTCACTAACAAAAATTGAAAATTACAAACTGAAAGTTCCAAATATTAAATATCTATTATCAGCACAAATCATAAATTCTAACATAAATATTTGGTGAAAAATCAAATCTAAAGAATCTAAAAATAATTCAGGTTTTTAGAGCTTTTCGTGTTTAAATGCATTTAAGATATCTTTTGAAACATGAATGCTATCAGCAGTGAAGGGTTGTGCACACAGAGGTTTCTATGGTAGAGGCAGAGTGGGCTGGTCAGCTAGCACTCCAACAAGATTTGCGATGAAGATATATTATATTTTAATAACTTTCAATGACTAAATTCCAGAAATTATCTATCCTAAAAATTGAACTATCTGTCTCTTCAGCCAAGGTCTGGAAGTACCAACGATAGTGCATTGATTTTGCTATACGCTACAGAATTACCTACAGTAATTATTTAAAGTCGTAAAACATGAATTAAATAAATTGTACTTTGTCTATTCAGCAACAAATCAGTTATAGCTATATAAAATATAATATTTTATGTAACTTTTTTTATAAGTACTATTAGTACTTTATACTCTGTATTCAAATAATGGACTTAGTAAAATAAAACTTTACAACAAACTATTTAAGGCATCAGTACTTACTATTAATCATTAATTAAACATCCTTATTTATGCTATAATAATATTATATGCACTATAGCAATGATCAATGATCAAATTAATTGTGTGAATATTGCTATAATAATAATTCATACAAAATATTTGAAAGTATTTTTGTTAAAGCTATGTAATATTAAATTATATTAGTAAAAAGTCAGCAGTCTATATTATATTGTATGTTTGGTGATTTAATTTTAATAAATTATTAAAAATTTAAAAATTAATAAAACAAATAACATTCAATGTGTTATGTTTTTTTATTCATATAGGCACAAATAATTTTGAAGAACACCAAAATAATATATAATTCAATATAAACCATACATAAATACATTATTAGGCAACTACCACAAAAAATAATTTTATTTAAAGAGAAGTATAAACGATTATAGTGTTATACTGTTATTGCTTTTTACAAGGATACAGACCAAAATCAGTACCTAGTTTTATGAAATAGAAACTGTCCACCTTAATTTATCCACATTACTTATTTAAAGTAATATTTTTGACTAATATTAACATATTATTTATATTTAAAATTATTACCCTCAGTAATTGATACTAGAGTATTCATCTTAACATTCCTGCTCAAATGTATTATACATTTTAATATAAAAATAAATTATATTGAGATCATATTATTTGTAAGGCCACATTTAATGTCTAATGCATTATATGAACAAATTTAGTTAATTTCATCAACTACCTTTTATCTATACTAATTATATTAATTGGCTTGAATTTCTTCACATCCTCTTTTAATTTCTTCCAAACTAAATCCAATGAAGCTAAAGCATCTTCCTTGCTGTCATGACCTTCCTCACTTTGAATAATTCTTTGTAAATGCTGTTCAGACAACAACTTCAAGCCACACTTATACGGAGGACCATATTTATGGGGATATATAACACTGGTATCTACAACATTATAATGAACCATTTTCAATGCTTTTAAATCACTGTCCAAACTATGACCAATTAAAATTGAATCTTTATCAAACATCTTCAATAAATCTTGTTGAACATCAGATAATCTCTTTGAACAATTCCTTAATGATTCCTCAGTAATTCCACTGTATTTAGATTTATAATCAAGTATAGGATTAAAAGGTTTCACTTTGGATTCATACACTACTTCTCCTTCGTGATTGATGACTGTGACTCGAACAATTTCAATACCAAATGTAGTATTAACCATTTCACAATCTAGGGCAAAAAAATTTGGTGTTTCTGCTTTTTTGTCAGATTTTTTACTTTTAGTCACAACAAAATTTTCCAAGGCATCTTCATCAAACTTATCAGGCATGTGGTAAATACTTGATTCACAACCAGATTCATGTTGTCTTTGATCACAACATATCCAAAATTTTTCATTTTTTGATCTTTCAAACTTTAGCTTGCCAGAATGAAAAATGCATTTAGTTAATGTAACTGTAGGCATACCACGTTTATCAACTTCAAACTCACTTTTACAATTCATGCATACAAATTTATCACCATTGCGTTTTTTAGAAAGTGGTCGGTAGTAATGAGCATTTTTGGAAATATATGCCAATTTATTATCACCCATTAGTGGAAAACCATTTTTTTCCAAATCATCTTTAGTTAGAATATATTTCTTCAATAATTCATACAAACAAATACCATACATGTGAGAAGGGTAATATGGATTACTTTTAACTTGTAATTGAGGTGTTTTATTGGCTTTCATTAAAGATTGAACTATAAGGTTTTTATAAATTCCAGATGATTTTGCTTTACTGTGAACTTCTTCTTCAGTTGTATGAGCTTTATCAATTGCTTCTTCGGATGAATAATGGTTAATGAAAGCTGCATAAAGTTTTTCCAAACAGCTTTGGCGTAAGGGATTTGGCATATTGTTGTTGTTCTTAAAGGATTTTATTCTCAGATTCAATTTTATATTTGCAGTTATTTCTTTCTTGTTTATACTTGGATTGTTTGGTGTTTGAGTCTCTATAGTACTTGGTTCAATTTTTGACTGATGAGCAATGCGAGTTTTAGTCTTTAATAATGGTAAACTGGGATCTCTATTTAAATTTATATTAGTATTTATATTAGTGACACTTGGATGACTTCCAAAAACATTATTTTGAACAGATTTTACTCTGCTTGCTACCAATTCATGAAGTGACTTTGTTGTTCTTGGCTTTATAACTGGTTTTGCATTAATTTGTGCAAATATGCTTGTTGCAGAAATATGAGATATTCGTTGTTTTACTTTAGCTGTTACCACATTACATGATTTTTGTTCACTATCAGAATCTTCTGAACCAAAAAATTCGTTCAAACTTGATTCAATTAGTGAAGTTGATGGATCATTTCCTTCATCACTTGAACTAACTCTGGAACTGGCTGTATCTAATTTTATAGGATCGGGTTTATCTAATCTTTTTTTTACTTTTTCTTTAACTACTTCTTTTAATGACTTTGTTCCAGAAGGAATGGTAGATGAATTCATACTGTCAAGATTAATACTCTTAATATTTTTATCTCTTGAATGTCTTTTTTCATATTTTTTCTCATCATCTCGGTCGTTTTTGTCTTTTCTATGTTCTGGAGATTTATCTCTTTTAGGTTTCTTAGATCTACTTGAAGATTTTTTTGAAGACTCGTGTTTACGTTTTGAAGATGATCTATGTTCGTGATGATATTTATCTTCAGTCTTATTAGTTTTATCAGAAGGTTTTTCAATAACAGAAGGTATATATTCTGAAACACCTGTATTCTGTTTTGTACTATTAGTATTAATATCATACGTTGTTGAAATTCCTTCAGTGTAGTTAATTGATTCTGTTTGCTCTTTTTTATTCAATTCATTATTACTAAGTTTAAGTCCAAAATCTAAATTTGTATCATTGACACTCGAAGGTATATATTCAAGTATGGGAATGTCTTTTTTACCTATTTCAATAGTTGATCCGTAAGTAGATGAATTGACACCCAATTCAAGATTCTTTGGCTTAATACATTTAGGAATATATTCAATAATTTTAGACTTTACCTTTTGCTTTAGTGTTGGTTCTTCGGACAACTTTGGTTTATCAGATGTAGGGACAACAGAATTGTTTTCTGTTTCAGCAACCATTTGACATTTTGTATCAGACAAAAAATCTTGTCTACTATGCTTGAAGTGACAATATGGTCGATCGCAGAAGGAGCCAGTATAATAGGGACATTCAAGAGCCTTAAAATAACCTTTGGAAGGCAACATTTTGAAGTGAATAATATCAATAAAAATGTAAGTGCTTAGAGCAATAAAATGTATACAAGATATGTTTGTATTTAGTGCTCACTCATCAAAAGTCAAACACATTAATAGCAAAGCCAGCACTCTGCAGGTATCAAGTAGAACAAACTTAGTTATACAAAAGATTCCAAAATTATTCATACAATGCGTTGTAGTTATAAAATAAAAGTGAATCAATTTTTACTATCGGATAGTAGTTTAAAATGAAAAAAGTTTTACACGGATCTTCGAAATGTCTTTACAATTAAATTGATTGTAGTCTGTAGATGGTATAATTCATATAATTATGTTAAAAGTATGTTGAAAGTACGGAATCAAAAATACGAATTCTGATTTTGCTTAAGATAATAGTATCAGCTGCTATGCCGTGTCCGTGTGTTCAGCAGCTAATCACCTAATAATATTTGATATGAAAATCCAAGGACTTAGGGGTTCTCAAAATCTACTGCTAATCATCAATTTGCGAAAAATGACTTTTTCCTACACTGTACAATGTGCTCTATCGGTTTCAAATGGCCTGACTGGCTATCATCATTCTTTACAGACATATTTATTGTTTGATAGTAACTTACTACTAACTTTTAACAAATACTAAAAATATTAAATGGGTAAAAGTATGTTTAAAATTTTTTTTTAAATTGTTTAATGTAACAAATATTTAGATCTTATTTCAATTTTTAACTCTCAAACTGCTTAAATTCAATCTTGTTTAAAATTATAACTCATAAGATACGAAATGGAAAATATAATATTTAATAAGGATCAAGAGATGGAGTCCTCTAGTTATAAAGACTACTCGCAAGAGGATTTGTTTTTAGTTCCAGAACCAAAACGATCAAATGATCAACATAATTCTTCTGATCCATTTGGAAGAAAAAAGAAGGATAAAAGCAAAAAACAAATCGAAGCGGAAGAAAGAGAAAAAATGAGGTATCTTCCATCATATAATAATATAATGACTAAAATTATATTGAATTATTATTCTAGAGTTCTTGTGTCCAATTTCACCGAAGAACAATTGGATAGATATGAAATGTTCAGGAGATCGGTGTTTCCTAAAGCAGCAATTAAAAGGGTCAGTATTATGTTTAATGTACATTATATCAACACTTTAATTAATAATTATGCAAATACATATTTTTTAAACATTTAAATTCTTAGATCGTACAAACCATTACTGGAAATTCTGTTTCACAAAATGTTGTAATTGCCATGTCAGGTATCGCAAAAGTTTTTATTGGTGAAATAGTTGAAGAAGGTAATTGAAAATGTTTATATTGATGGCTAAAATGCACTTTACCACCCCCCGCAAAATTTTCAATTTTTTTTCTTGAAACTTACGTACATTAATGAGTGAAAATGTCAGAATGCCCATATACCATGACATAACTCACCCTTTGAATTGTGACCTACTTTAGGTGGTGTTGCATAGCAATTCGAGGGATATTTTAAATTTGCGGAGTGCAGCAACGAGTGCCGCTAACTGTGTAATCACTATAGCATTGTGGGTATGCGTAAAAAACACAAAATTTCAAATTTCCAAAATTGTCTACTTCAAAACTAAGTCCGATAAATAAATTCTGACAGCACCAGCATTCTTAACTCATTAATATACACAAGTTTCAAGAAAAAAAATTAAAAGAATTATAAAAGACGTGATAAACGTAGCGTTGCGCTCTTGCGTAAAATAACTTCGAAACTAAGTCTGACCTACAAATTCTGATTGCACCATCGTTCTTAAATAATTAATATAAGTAAGTTCCAAAAAAAATCGAAAATTTTGTGAGGAGTGATGAAGTGCATTTGTTCCACATTCATTTCTATAGTCATAATTCTTGATTGAGTCTTCATTGTAGCTCTTGATATAATGGAAGCTCAAGAAGATTCAGGACCATTACATCCCAAACACTTGAGAGAAGCTGTAAGGCGGCTTAGAAAAACTGGAGCTATTCCATCTTCCAAAGGTAGAAAACTGCCTTTTTACATTTAGATAGGTACCTAATATAAAAGTAAACTTATTTATTAAACAATTTATAATTTTTTTTAAATTTAGCAACTAATGTAAATTTTGATTGTATATAACTGACATTTATAATAATTACTTGTAAATAAGAAAAAATTTGTTTATTTATGACATTAATGTACTGATTAAAATCCCAAACAACAAAAATGTGTTGTAAAAAAATTGTACCTATAATAAATGTTTACATGAATTGTTTATTATCTAAAAGGATTAGAATATGAATTTATAACTGTGAAATAATATTTTAAATAATTAATAAAATATATTTTTATTTCACTTAGTAATATTATTAAGCAACTTATAACTAAAAACATATAACAATTTTTTTTTTTTTGAAACTTTTTAGTCTTAAATGTTTAAAAGTATTGTGCTGTCTTCCTAGACACCATGTTAGCTAATATTTGTTGACAATATCATTCTATTTTAACTTCTCGTGGACAAATAATATGAAGCAGACTAGGTAATTATCAGGTAACTCACAATTCACTCACTTTTGAAATTATTTATTTTAATATCTAATGAATGCTTACTATTCACTTTACTACTCAACAGAATATAAATAACTAGAAACAAACTTATGCTCAATAGCTAACTAATGACTTACTAACCCACAAGGCATAAGCATTAGGCTATAAAGATTAATAACTATAAATATAAAACTATAAACTATAACTGTAACTATTAATGAAATATTTTTATAATTAAAAAAAAAACTAGATTAAAGAAAATTGTTTTTTGCGTATGAGGGGTGTCCCCCCTATGCCACATATTATGAGTTACAACATTATGTAATTCTGTATATTATCATTTAAATTATGGTTGATGACAGCTATTTGACCCTTTTGTACAGTTATATATTATAAATGGTATAATATACTATTATGTATGGCCGTATAAATAACAATATATTATCAGTATTCTATGTTTACTTTTATTTTTTTTTCTTTCATTGTTAATATTCAAATATAACAATATGAATAACAGAATAGACATTATATAGCCTGAATAGATTTACACTGATTCATTATGAAAAACATTAACTGCATTTTTGACCTTGTTTATCAGTTACAATAATCTTGTCAACTGAAATATTTGTATGATTCTACAGAATACCCTACACTAAGCTCGGAATAAGAGAAGAGGTGGGATGGGCTTAGTCTCTTTTTGAACACACACATTCAAAAGAAATATCAGAAAATTACTAAATTGTTATTTAGTTTGATAACAGAATTGAGATAAATTAATATTAAGGTTAGGTTTTTTGGTATAAAGTTAGTAAATTAGGGGAAATGAGACTTGTGAACTTTGTACAACTATGGAATTATAATCTACAGTTAAATTTATTAATGTATTCAATTTTTAATTGGTTTAAGGTGTTTTTGACCTATTTTGAGTGGGTAGGATAGAGATAACATTTTTTTATAATAATGTCTGTAAAATTAGTTTATCGTCTGGTAATAATCTATTTTGTCTTGTACTGTATATTTGACTTGCTTTGGAAAAAACTCTTTCCTGATGATACAGACTACAGATATGGCTGGTATACAAGAGTTTTAAGGCTACTTCACATAATGCACCTAACACCCAACAGCTGTTTATTATTTCTCCAAAATAGTATTGGATAATCATGAAGGTTCAAAAACTCTAGGTTCATGTACTGTTTGAAAAATATACTTGCTGTATTTATATGTTTTGTCCAGGACCGAATTGTAGTCACTGTTGTTTCTAAATAATTTAATACAATTTCTAATATAATACATTAATACTTACTGGCTATTACATAATTATATTACTACTCTTATTTTTATTTTTAAGGAGCAATTTTATAAAATTAAAAACATTTTTAAAGAGTAGGAATTACAATATTTTTTAAGTTACTTGGAACTTGATAAACAACTACAATGATTGAAACAAAAGTGGTAATCGGTAAACTTACCATTTTTTTAAGACTTCAGTATATTATTAGAGGTATTAAGATGGTTGTAGTAGGGTAAATATTAGATTCACATTTGAAAAATCTTAGGTACATTTCATAAGATGAGTTTATTGTACATATTGTATTTTTTAAAGTCTAAGAGCTAAAGCATTCTACTTAATACCTAGATACATTGTTTATATTTAATATATTTACGAAAAGAGTTAAATAAGAGATTGGATAAAATAAGAATTCCAAAATAGAATTTATATTTTAATTGATCTAAAAACTTTAATAAATAAACTATCCATATTGAATTGTTTTTAAAAATTTTCCGAATAATAACCATTAAGACCATAACAATTATTAAATTTACATAGGTACATTGTATGGTCTTTGTAGTTTGTACCTACATAATCGAGCACCCAGGGACCCGGGCCCGGGCTATAAACATGGACCGTTATTTCTAGTGTAAAATGTGTAATAACTAGAAAACTATTTTATTGTTTCGATTGAAATTCTTAAAAAAATCATCCACTGAATAATTAACAGTAATAAAGTAGGGTTCTCATGTGAAAAACAAAGTTTTTTATCGCCACATGACACTCCTCAAGTGCCACAAAAAATAATAAATATTAATACAGTTAATTAATATAGTCTTTGAATGTATTTGAGGATCCTAAAAATACTTGTAGGTTAGGTACGGTATATTCTGTTGTTGTTGTACCTGAGTATCTACTTTATACATGTATTTATAAGTACCTACATGAAAACCAATAACTTCACTCTAAATTTGTTGAGTTAATTTATAGTACCTATTTTACCTGTGTTAGACAATAGACGTTTAATAATAATAAAAAATGTTAATTATTCAGTAGTTGGCCGTTGGATAACTCGCATTCCTATTATGTTATTTTTATAAGAAAATTCCATAGGTCTATGTATATGACCATATATAAGTTAATGTGGTACTCCGAACTCGTTATAATAATATGGGTGATATAAAATAAATTCGTTGGCCGTTGCCCCCAATAATTACCTACTTGTTTAAGGTATACTTAAATCATGTTAATGATACAATAATCAATAGATACGTTATAAATAAAATTAGATACCAGCTATAACCTTATAGGTTTATTTTTAAATTAAAAATTGCAGATCTAGTATCCACGCCATGCATATCCAGTAATGGGTGGGGGGGGGAGACTTTTTTTTTTCCCCCGTTTGAACCGACAGCAGAGGAGGATCTGTGTGAACACTACTACCCCTCTGCAGCCATCGTTTATTAATGTTTAATAAAGAACGTTAATGCATGCACATCTTCACTTTAAAAATAAACATTAGTACAATAGATACAATACAATGCAATACAATGCGATACAATAAATAATAAAGTCAGTCAGTAATCACGGCCCGCTGTCAAGTGCAACATCGTGTGCTCAGTCAGTTGGAGCGGCTGCCACTGCATTCGCTCTTCGTTCGGCCTCAGCTATCCTTTCATCGTGCTCCTTTACAGCTTAAAATATTGTCAACCATGTCATAAAAGGACTGAGTGGCGCGTTGGGAGGCAGATTGCAGCCGGTCGTACTCGCTGGACGGGACATCAGAGGGGCCGCACAACAAATCCTGAACGTCTCCCGGAGTTATATTTCGGTTACCAACAAACATCTTCACAGGCAGCCGAAGCGGATCCCAGTAAGCACAATCAAATATCGTGTGTTCCGCAGTGTCCTCCGGGTGTTGGCAGTATACAGGCAGGCCGCATCAGGGGCGCGCTTCATCCTGTGTAGGTAGTACCTGAAACACCCGTGTCCCGTAAGAGCCTGCGTTACATGAAACGTGAGGTATTTGGGACACCTTTTCGTCCATCTTATCAGGTCCGGAAGAATCGTGCGCGTCCAGGCTCCTCTAACGCCCCGACTCCATCTGTTCGACCAGGCAGCAAGCAGGATGTCTCGCTCTGCTCTCCGGATCTCAACCTTTAAATCGGCTCTGTCCGGGTCGTCAAGTTTACTTCGGACTCTTTTGCGTTCCAAAGCAAGAAGATCACCCGGAGGAGTTCCCGCCAGGAATAAGGCTGCCTCAGCCGAGACTGTGCGGTACGCCCTCGTGACTCTGAGAGCCGCAATCCTCTGTGCCCGAATCATAAGGTTTCGACAGATAGCGTACTTGCATGTTCTTTCCGCCCACGTTGGACAGGCGTACAGCAGCCTGCTGTTCACCACAGACATTAGCAGCGTTCTCTTAGACTGTGAGGGTCCTCCAAGGTTGGGCATGAGCCGTCCTATAGCCAGCGCTGCCTGGGACGCCTTCCCCGAAACAGTAGTGGGGGGGGGGGAGACTTGGAGGGCTAACCCCCCCAAAATTCCTTCAAGCCCCCTCAAAATCCCAACAGTAATCGTGAAGGGGCAAAGCCCCCCACGATTTACGTTCATTTGAAAAATAGTAGCCCCCAATATTTTTAATAGATTTTTGTCTATGACGCCACGGACTGCTGCTACACAAAATAAAATTAACAGACGAATTGCTTTTTGAATATAGTTGTATACTATGATTTCAATACATTAACAATTATAATTTACAGAATAAACATGGATAAACATGATGCTGCAATTATACGTATGTTAACTTTACGAAGTACAAACTACAAAGTACTAAATACTAAAACTTAAATTAAGAACAATTGTAACAAAATAAATACATTTTAAACATTATTATTTCTTATAGTTTATAGTTTTTTTTTTTTTTAAATCATTGTTTACCTACGAAAAACGATTCTGAGCGAAGATAGGTCAGCCTATATTATTAAGTATATATTTTATGATATTTTAATATTACAACACCAAGATAATGAAGTATAAACCATGTAAATGATAATGACAAAAATTAAAATAATTGTAAAATTAATACTTAAACATTAATTGCTCTGCTCAAAATCTAAAATACATTTTAAACATCCATAAGCGCGGGAAATTTGTTGTGCTGAAGCATTTTGTTAGTACCATACATTAGACACTGTGAGCGCTAGGTTCAGCGTTTGATTGTTTTAAAGATAACTTAATCTAACCATATTTATTTTCATAGCATCTTTTATAATCGGTGTTCAAAATTTGAAATTTCAGTATTTCAATATTCACTACTCGCATTAATTGAAAGTTATAAGTTATAATTTTTTATTAGTATATTTATACATGAGTACTCAGTAGGTTATAGGCTTAGATCCACGATTTATATCCTAATTCGTGCTTAGATGTAAGATGCAGGTATAAGGTATTACAGATTAGTGATGACTATTTAGTATTATTTGTTATTAGGTTAAGTTTGTACTGCACATAAAGCTCTTTACTCTATAGTATCTTAGTTGTTACACGTAAAAAAAGATTGTTGGAATATCACATTAAAACCTTTTATACTCAATCCATAAACAACACATTGATAATATGCCTCGTTTATCTGTAAGTATACATTTAATGTTTGTTTAAAGTGAAATATATATGTATACAATGAGTTAATTATACTGTAGAAAGAAGAAATTGCCAAGCAATTTATGCTTCCTGAGCGTAAATCTAAAATTGCAACTCTACTTAAACAAGATGGACAAGCATATTGCATTTGTCGATCATCTGACAGTTCTAGATTTATGATGTAAGTGTTAAAATTTAAAACTGAATAATTTTATTTTTAACTTAAGGTAGATCATTAGGTGTATAATTCATATTGGTGTATAGTCTATTTTATTATGGGTGAACTTTAATTCATAATACAAAACATTACATTGCTGAAATTAGGATGTTGTCGTGTTATATGTATTAAGTATTTATATATTTATTATTGCATTTAAAGTAAAACATAAGCATATTATAAAGATGATGTTCCTAATTTTCAATAAATATTTTAAAATTGATAACTTGATGTCTATAATGAACATGTTTTTATGTTATTTGTAAAACTGCTTAGATAAATATATTTAAAATATGTTATAATTATATATTTATTAATTATAGTGGATGTGATGCATGTGAAGATTGGTATCATGGTGATTGTATTGGAATAACGAGAAAGCAGTCTAAACTCATCAAGCATTATTTTTGTGATGTATGTCTATTATTAATAATTTGTAATTTTGTAAATTATACCTTTCATACTATAACAAAATTGTCTATTTTGTTTTAGAAATGTAAATTAGAAGATGCGTCATTGAAAACAATATTCAAAACTTCATTAAGTCGTAGTGATTTTAAAGAAAAAAATGATCATTATGTTGAGAGCAAACGAGGTAACTATATAATATAAATCTATAAACTTGGTATTATTTGTTTAAAAATATATTGTCAGCACTTGAATTAGTTTAAACATTAATTTATATTGATATATTAATTTTCTTTTTTACATTTGAAAGTAAATATTTAGTCTATAAGTACTCAGTTACAAAATGTATGACATTTTTGGAAGAATCATTTTAAATATTAAATTGGGGTTTTATGTTTGTAATAAAATAGTGAGTACACATAATAAAATAGTCTTTATTATCTTTATGTTCAATGTTCCTATACAAAATACTTTTTTGAAAATTTTATATTTTTGATTAATAAATAATTATTTGAAGCTTAAAATTGAAATGAAAAATTCATTGCTAATTAAGTATAAGTTGAACCAATTATGTTGTCTTTGGCTAAAAATATAAAGTATTTTTTATATGAAATTATTTTATCCGAAGTTTAATGATTTATTAAGAATCTAATATTACTATCATACTTATTTGTATCTTAGATAGCCGTGAAAAATATCGACCTAAACATAGATCATGCGGTCGTTGTGAAAATTGTAAACGAGTTGAAAATTGTGGTTTATGTTTGGGATGTTCTGAAATGCGAAGATTTGGTGGTTCAGATTTATGTGAAAACAAAATATGTTTAAATGTCAATAAACAAGTAAAATATTTAGTTATTATTCTATACTGAAATTATAATGTGTTATTTATTATAGGAAAATAGGCCTTTATCCAAGTCTACTAAGAGAAAACGTAAGGATTCCAGTTCCGATGGTGATCATGTTGGTTCACCATTGTTAAACCGTGTTCATTGCTATGGTCCTGGATGTACTCAAATAGCAAGGTTTAATTCCAAGTATTGTTCAGACAAATGTGGTATGAGTCTAGCTAATGCTAGAATTTTTCATGTAAGTCTAGTACCTTTATTTAGTAACCATAAATTTTCACTTGATTTATTGTTATTATTTTAGGTATTACCTCCAAGACTTCAAGAATGGGGTCTATCGCCATGTGTTGCAGAAGAAACAAATAAAAAAAACCTAGAAGTAGTTAGAAAAGAGCAACTTGAAGTTAGAGATATATTGAAAGAATTGGATAAAAGACATAAAGTAATTATATTTAACTAGCTCATAAGTTGTACACAATAAGACATTGATGTGTGTACTATAATTGTACGTGGAAAGTGGTGATGGTTAAGGCATTTAATCAGTATTTTTTTTTTTAAACAGTTATATTAAAAATTTACAGGAAAATATATATAAAATAAATCTTTCAACATTTTAACTGTTGTTTAATTGGAAATACAGAGACAAAAAATATATTATTCAACTGTATTTATTTTTCTGAAACAATTAAGCTTAAAGTTGTAATTTTTAAGACAAGAATTTAATATAGTTAATCACCAGTACTGAATATAATAAATATTTTTTAACAATTTTAAGGAGCTCGATAAGCTATTAGAAAAAGCAAAATTGTTGTCTGTTGATGTAAATCAAGAAGTGCAAGATATCGATGAAGAAATGAGTATGCACTGTGTTACATGTGGACATGAAATACATACAAGAACTGCTGTAAAGCATATGGAAAAATGTTTTAATAAGGTTTGTTTTTATATCTTTTGCATTGGATAATGAATGTAGTTACTCATTTTTGTTTTTTTTTTAATAATTTCATCTTAACACTGTAGTACGAGAGTCAGTCATCATTTGGTTCAATTTACAAAACTAGAATTGATGGTAACAATATGTTTTGCGACTTTTATAATTCATCACAAGGTACTTATTGTAAGAGATTGAGAGTTTTATGCCCGGAGCATTTTAAAGATTCAACTGTCATTAGCGATACTGAGGTAAAAATATTTGCCTAAATAATAATAAATAAATTTGTATATTTACTTTATTTAGCTATAGTTATTTTGTATGTATGTATGAACATAGTTATTGTTCTTTTGTATTAATACAAATTATAATTAATTAATATTTAATCATATTTGTTTATATTTCAGGTATGTGGCTGTCCGCTCGTTTCAAATGTTTTCAATTTAACTGGAGAATTTTGTCGTGTCCCTAAGAAAACATGTATCAAACATTACTGCTGGGATAAATTAAGGAGAGCTGAAATTGATATGGAAAGAGTACGCCAGGTAAAAATTACATTTATAAAACACTTTTCACAGAACTATCATTTTTGAATTAAATATCAAATTTTGAAACATTTTGAACACTTACCATTATACCAATTACCAAAAGTGAATAAAAAAATCAAAATCTATGCAACTATGTAACTATGTGCAAACATTTTAGATTCTAAGCTTAACTTTTTTATAATTTTAAAACAAATAACCTTAGATATTTTTAATTTACTACAAATGTTGATAAAAGGTTTTTCCTACACATGGTATTTTAATTAATAATTTTACTTGGAACTATTTATTATCAATATTTTTTCGATAGCTTAATAAAATAACTTGTAATGAAGTTGAATCAAACAAAAATATAATTAGCCTAAATCAGATACGCCATTGAATAAAAATACTAATATATTAAGTAAAAATGTATGTAAATGACCGATAGTTACACAAAAGTTAAGTTTCCCCACAAATTTTATTTACACATGACTACTGAGTATTGTTTCCTAAATACAATTTTTTTTAATGTTTTAGTGGTTAAAGTTAGATGAGTTGGTTGAGAAGGAAAGACAGATACGTTATAGAATGTCTTCAAGAGCGGGAGTCTTAGCATTAATGCTACACTCCACTTATGACCATGAATTAATGGAACGTCTAACAGCAGAAGCAAAGAATTCTCAACATCAACGTGAAAACAATTCTTGCGTTTCTTCAAAATCAACTAATGTATCTGATGAATAGTGTTTGATGTATTTAAAAGGAGAACAATGACCTCTTCCGATTTATTCACACCAAAATTTTCTTTAATTGTATTGATTTTTTTATTCCGAATTTAATACTGAATTTATAAATCAATCACATGGTTTGTCCATTGACCT